GCTCAGAATAAGCACCTAAATGCCATCATTTTCCTGGGATGAGTGTTTGCTTTAAAATAGATATCTGAAGAAGCAAAATCCAGTTCTGAAAATGTTTCACAAATCGTAAGTTCAATACCTTTTCATTATTTATGTAAAACACATGCATCAGAATTCAAATACAAATAAATCAGAAGGTATTTTTAGTCTCTTGAGATAACCTCTCTCTCTCTCTCTTTCTCTCTCTCTCCCCTCCCCCTCTCTCTAATAGCTTTGTACCTAAATAAACTTTTAGTCTATCATAGAGTACACTGAAAATAGGACAATGAATTATGGCATTTCCTAAAATTAGATCTATATTAGAGCACTCACAAATTCACTTGTAGTAAACAGTCCCTTCTCTTTATAAATCTTCACACTTATAAGTTTTAGAAGTTCCTATGCCCCCAACAGTGACAAAAACAAAAGGCTGACATTTGTTAAAGTAAAGCAAACAAAATCATGTCTGAAAACAGTGAATGGTCTAGTGTTTACAGCAGAGGCCAAGAAAAGGTTATCCTAGACACAGATCCCAAGATTGCTTACAGAAGTACTGTGGGCCACAAAGAAATAAGAGTTAAGCCTAGGTAAGGCCCCTAAAGCACAACAGGCATCCTTGAGACTACGAGTTTTAAGTGAATCATGGTCTGGGTTTGTTCAATGCTTTAAGCAACAGGGTTTCATGCTTCCAACATGGCATATTCTTGTCCCTAGTAACTCCCTAATTACTCAGGTCACTCAACAAGGACTAATTAAATACCATTTTTTGTGCCAAGCACAGAGCCTCAATATGTAGCAGACAAAAATTTTAAAAATTAACTTTATGGTCTTAAGGAAACAGAACCCATAAAAATTCAAGGCTACAGTACAAATCATAAAATGCTTTAAAATTCCTGTGCCCTTGATTATTGTTTTTTTGGTGCAGACATCTTTGCATAGTATTAATATGGAAATTGTATGGACAAAACAGGTAGACAAAGCAAGGACTACAGAGATCAGGAAGCTCAGATTCTTTCTGTGGCCTTGAGTCAGTCACTGGGCCTCTTTAAGCCTTCTGGAAAAATAGTGTGTTGGATACAATGGCCTCAAGTCTTTCCAGTTCTAAAATTCTATGATTCTTAGTTTGAAAACTTTTTAATGGCAACCTCTGGAATCTTAGGAGACATGGTAATCTAACTCTAGATGCTAGCAAGTGCCCTGAGTTTCAGAAAGCCAAAAAAGTATAAACCACATCCTATACATCTCTCACTCATTCTAAAGAGTCCTTTCTCTGACCCTTCACAGTCATATACAGTGGGGCCTTGACTTACAACGGTCCCGACTAACGAGGTTTTCGAGATACGAGCCATCTCTTGGCCGATTTTTTTTGCTTTGAGTTGCGAGCTAAAATTCGGGTTACGAGCCAACTTCAGATACCCCACCGCTAGTTGGTGCAGCGAACGTCACAGTGAACGCCACAACATCAGCCCAGCATCACGTGTCTCACTCGTTCACTTTAAGATTTGACATACAAGTAATTTGAGTTACGAGCTCCATCACGGAACGAATTAAACTCGTAAGTCAAGGCCCCACTGTATTAAGAGCCTGTCATTCTTTAATTTTTATTCCAAACAATGTCCTGTAATTCATGTGATTCAACTTTTAAAAACTGAAGGAAACACATCTTTATAAATTCTAGATGTTGGTATACTCTAGAAGTCAACAGCACATTTTCTTCTCATTATTCTTACGAGAATACTAAAAAGGCTTAGATAAATAAGCACGTAAAAATACCATGTAAGTACAATGGTTATATAAGTAAAATCCTAATTCAGAAGGTAAAGTAAGAGAAATAAGGGCCTTTCTGGAACTGAATAAATTAGGTGTTCCTTCTTAGAAACAGCTACAAAATTTGTGGGGGCCAGTACAAAATAAAAATGCAGGACTCCCTGCTCAAAAATTAAGAATTCCAAGATGGTGACAGCAGAGCATTAAACCAGGCAGTCCTTACGTGTTTGCACATATAACGTGACTGCCCAGGCCACATGCCCATAAGTCAGTCCTATACCTCTATACCTCTTTAACAACCCAAACATTTTCTCAGTAACAGCCCATTATGTAACTAGAATTATCCAAACATTTCTGTAAGTACTTAAAAATACTATCAACACAGAGAACTATTCAATTTAATAGCAAGTGTTTTACTGCCCTATTTTTAGCATAAAGGGCTGTAGAAGCATATCCTGAGTATAGAAGACTATTAATTCAAATTGCCTTAGTTTGCCCTAACCGGTTTGGCTCAGAGGATAGAGCATCAGCCTGTGGACTGAAGGGTCCCAGGTTCGATTCCGGTCAAGGGCATGTACCTGGGTTGCGGGCACATCCCCAGCAGGAGGTGTGCAGGAGGCAGCTGATCGATGTTTCTCTCTCATTGATGTTTCTAACTCTCTATCCCTCTCCCTTCCTCTCTGTAAAAAATCAATAAAATATATTTTTTAAAAAGCCAAACAAATTGACTAGTTCAAATCTTGCCCTCTATCCCTACTGACTGCATGGTCTTGGGCAAGTAACTTAACCTCTCTGGCACTGGTTTCCTCATCTATAAAAAGGGCATAATATCATTCACTTCACACAGTTATTAATATGTTTACAATGAGTTAATATACGTACTTAGAACAATAACTAGCACATATTGCTAGAAAAATCCTTTTAGTTATTATTTCTAACTAGAAACTGTCTTCACAGAAAGTTAACCTAAAGGGTAAACTTAGCCCAGCCTGCATGGCTCAGTGGTGAAGTGTCAACCTATGAACCAAGAGGTCCTGGTTCAATTCCCGGTCAGGGCACATGCCCAGATTCCCTGTGTGAGATGCGCAGGAGGCAGCCTATCAATGATTCTCTCATCATTGATGTTTCTATCTCTCTCTCCCTCTCCCTTCCTCTCTGAAATCAATAAAAATACCTTTAAAAATAAAAATAAAGGGTAAACTTAAACTTTTGAAAATTGTTCTTTAATAATTCAATTCCACAAGTATTTAATAAGCATCTACTCAGCAACAACCTTCCCTTAGCAATTTTTATCCTCCTTCAGTATCATTCTTTCTTCACTGGCTACTTCTGACCTTCCTGGTAGGAAAACAATTCACTTAACCATAGCCTTTTCAGTACTGTTATCTGGCTAAGGTAAATGCCTAGCTTTAAAAAATATTTTCAAAAAACTTGAAAGTAGTAAAATATTTTGGCTAATAGTAAAAAGTATATGTGAATGACACTTACATTTTATATTTATAACTTAATGCTATTCTTCCTATAACTTTTTTGCTTTCTTAATAGTTATTAATAGGTAACTGAGTGAGAACAATCCAAAGTAGACATGGATTCCAAATTTTTGTCCAGCAATTATCTCATACACATATTCTCTGAAAAACCTCTTATCAAATACTGTATATTCAATTACTGATTCAAAAAATTAAAATGTTCCTGGCAATAAAATTTCACTGAAATTAGTATTTGCATTTTAATTATGTAAATTAACCTAAGACCATTTTATGCACCTCCAATTTTTGAAATTTTAATTGATAGTTTTTTCCACTTATAGCAGTTCATTATAAAACATAAGATAAAAAAAAGTATATTACTACTCTTGGCTTATATGCCTATATGGTGGAACTACAGTTAAGAGAGAATTCTGAGTTTTACATGGTAAACTTTCCTTAGTTAAGTGTTCATAAACATTAGAAACCGGATCATTGACTAAAAGGATGGCCATTGGAAATGAAGTTATTACACTTTGAGACAAGTTACCTTACAGAACAACAGTAAATAGTTTTTAATGTAACTGTTTAACCTCTGAACAAAATTATGGTAAGGTGAAAAGTCACAAATACAGTACAAAAACATGTCATCGACGTAGGATTTGTCTCTTAAAAAAATACACAGGTAAGCAGTTTCCGGCTGTGATTGAAGATAGGGTAGCCAACAGTTTGGAGGTAAAGAAGGGCCTCGCTGACCCAGGGAGCGGAGAAAAGAAGTCTGATCAATTACAAATAACACCTAAAGCGGGCTACATTGGCGGCTGCTTCCTTTCCTTACTCATCAGCAATGACGGAAGACTCCGCCAAACCTTTCAGATTTATAGTACACACATAACCTTTCACGCAACATCATATCACTAATGAATTAAAGTATAAGAACCAATTACTCGCCGAGGAATCTGAGCATGTCTATTACTTTCCTGCCTCGCTCTACCATCCTAAAAGCCGCAGTTCCTCGAATAGTCATTAAGATCCATGACAACTGAACAGCCAGGGAACTTCGGGATAAATGCACAAAGGCCTGCTCCAGGCACCCAAGACGGGGAAACTGAGGACCCCCCACAGTCGGAAGCTGCCCTCGTTAGAGGGCCGGGGGCTGGAGAGGCTGAGGAGGAAGTTACAGGACAGGCTCGGCAGCGAGTGCGTGCAGGCTGAGTGCATGCACACGTGCAAGCTGCTCTGCACCCCAAGTTGATCAATGCTGTCACCACGCCAGGTCTCAGCCCGGTTTGGGCAGGAGGGAAAAGGAGGGCCGGCGAGGGCGCGGACCGTCAAGTGTGGATATTTCCTGATCCGTATGACGGGTCATCGCATCCATCTTCCGCCGCGTCGCAGCCCCCAGTAGCCAGAGCGCAGCTCCCACCGGCCCCGAACCGGCCGGCCCGCGACCTCCACCCCGCGGCGAGGTGAGCCCGGACCCTCGCCACGCTCCAGCCCCGGCCTCGGGAGCCCCAGACCCAGGGGTGGGGCGCCATCTAGGTCCGGGCGCGGAGTCCTGCCCCAGGAGCGCAGGGAAATGCCTCCTCCCAGCTCCCGGGTTCCTGCTCCGCCAGGCCCAACCGGAAGGCGCCCTCGGACGGCCACGGGCTCCACCGGGCCGCCGGGCTTTCCAGGCCGCGCCGGGCCCGCCGGGGCAGCGAGGCGGGGAGCAGGCCGGGGGCGGCCGCGTCGGCCGGGGGCGCCTCTCACCGTGTGCTCGTGCTCGTCCGCCTGGGCCCGGGGCAGCAGCAGCAGCAGCCACAGCGCGGCGGCCGCCGCCACGCCGGGAGCGCCCGGCAGCGCCCTCATCCTCCGCGCTCCCAGCGGCCCGGCGCCCGCCCACCGACTCCTCCTCCGCCGCCGCCGCCGCAGCCGATTCGCATCCACCGGGCGCGGACAGACGCACGGGGCCCGGACTCCGCCGCTGGCTCCTCGGCGCCGCCGCCGACACCGCCCGCTCCGTCGCCTCCCCCGCCCCCCGGCGCCTCCGCGGCCTCTTCCTCTGACTCAGCCACGTCATCCGGCCACCCCGGCACGCGCCGGAAGTGCCGTGCGACGCGGGCCGCAACCGCCGCCGGCCGCCCCGCCCGGGCAGTGCGAGCCACGGCCGGACCGAGGGTCCCGGAGGCCCGGCGCGCGGACGCGGCTGCAGCGCCGGGGACCCGGCCGGAACTTCGGGGCCGAAGCCGCGTCCCGGCGCTCGGGGTCGTGCGCCCTTGGCCAGATCGCCCGCCTTCCCGCCTCCATCTTCCCGCCTCCCGCTCCTCGGCTGTGAGATGGGGTCCCCCTGCCGCCTCTCGAGCCGGGGCGATCGGAGCAACCCGCCCTTTGCAGGCGCTGCCGCTGTGCGTGAATCGCGAGGTCATGAAATCATCATGATGGGAGAGTGTTAAATTTATACAGGGTTGAGCGAGTGTTTTAAAATCTCCGACTATTTCCCTGACCGGTTTGGCTCAGTGGATAGAGCGTCGGCCTGCGGACTGAAGGGCTCCGGGTTCGATTCCGGTCCAAGGGCATGTACCCTGGTTGCGGGCACGTCCCCAGTGGGGGGTGTGCAGGAGGCAGCTGATCGATGTTTCTAGCTCTCTGTCCCTCTCCCTTCCTCTCTGTAAAAAAAATAAAATAAAATATAAAGTCACCGAGTATTTATTAGACCCCTACTATTCAATCTTGTTGAAATTCTTGTTCACTTATTTATTATTTGTTGGTCTCCAGTCCACAGACATAAATGCCCCCTGGAATCTAAGCGCCTCCCCCAAGCAGGGATCCCGTCCACTGCTGGATTTCCTGTGCCTGGCACAGTACCAGTCTCCGGGTAGGAACTCAAAAAACATCTGTCAAACAGTAATAAGGCACCACCACACACCATCCTTCCTCTAAGCCAAAAATCTGGAACTTGCAGTCGGATTGTCGGTACATCTCAGCCGTCAGTAGTCAACAGTTCCAGCACTGTGTCTCTTAGAAATGTCTCGAGTTTATTTTTCCTTTCTTTCCTCTGCCAAGAACAGCCAAGAGTCTCCCGCGGGATCCCTGCCACCAATCTCCCCTCCCTGTTTATTCTCTCCAACAGGTGCCAGAGTGACCTTTCTAAAAAGAAACCTGATGGTACCGCTCTTTTGCTTAAAACACTCCTTGAATAGTGTTTAAATAACGCATGGAATCACAGCTAAGATTTTCATCTTCCAGGCACTATTCTGAGCCCATTTTATGTACTGACTCATTTAATGCTCACACACACACACACACACACACACACACACACACACACACAAAGACCCTTCTGCAACAGGTATTATCAGTATGTTCATTGTACAGATACCTGAAGCACAGAGGGGTAAGTGGCTTGCTGAAAGGCCAAAGCCAAGCAGTCCGGTTCCAGAACCCGTCTTTCTTACTACTAATAGATCACCATTCATGCAGCCATTTTAAAAAATGAAATAGCCCCGTGTGTCCTGGCATGGAATGATATCAGAGAGATACTTTTAAGTGAAAGAAGTTGAAAAAATAGAGCATAATTCCATCTTAAATGGTAACATATTAGTCTACCCATAGAAAACAACCTGAAAGATGACACAACCATTAAGATATTTAACTCTCTACTTTGTACATGCCTATAAATATTTGGATATTTTTTTACAATGAGCAAACATAATGTGAGGGGAAAAAAATCTTTGCTAAAGGACAGTTCTGTTAGCATTGCAGCTGCACAATCAGATCCTGATTTATCTCCCCAGCTTTACATCCCACTGGTCTCCATCCTTTATTCCCCAAATACGCCACCTTCTTTTATTTCTGCTCCTTTGTGCTTGGTGTTCCTTTCGCCTGGGATGCAAATAAATGGACAGCGTTGGGTGGTCTCTTTCCAGGCCTGACTTTCCCGCCTCTTCAGGGAAACCTTGCATCAGGAAGTTGAGCATCTCTTCTTCAGGATTCCAATAGCACTTGGCGTGTTACATTATAATCACCATCTAGTCCCATTTCCTCTTCTGTGTCACATTCTGACCTTTTTTGAGGACAAATACTACCAATTGTTTTTTTTATATATCTGTCCCCACTGCAGGAATAGTGCTTGTCACATCACAGACATTCAGTAACTATTTCAAGAATGAATGAATGAAGGCAGTAGTAAGTGAAAGTCAAATAGCATGGCATGATTTAAAGAGCACTTTCTAGCTAGTCTAAGAGATACTACAAGGCAGTACATGATTAATTGCTGAATGAGTCATATGCCAGTAATTGCTATAGAAATCAGAGGAGGTGTCTTAATACATCTTATACATCTTTGTATATCCCCCAGAGCACCTCACATGGTGGCTTGCTCATGGTGAAAGTTCAGTAAATGCTCTGTGAATGAATAATCGCTGCTTTTGAATCAAGTGATGATGGGCAATTGAAGAACAAGTAGTGTAAGTGCTGAATTAAGATGGATGAATAGTTTCTTGCTTAAACAGCCATCACCAGCCCCACATATTGAGTCAGTAAGCTTTTGCTATGTGTGGGGAGCACTGGATTGGTAATTGCTTGGGGATGGGGAAGACACAAGAAAAGGTATATTCATTTGGGGAGTGCTGACTTAAAACCAGGAAACATTACATGTACAACAGAGAACAGCATAACAGTGTACAAAAAAAGAACTGCACAAAATGTGACAGACTGTGCAAATGTTCCACAGGCAAAAGAGCAATGGGCAAGGAGAGAAGAGGAAACCCTGTTTTGGTGGAGTATTTGGGAAAATATAATGGTGGGAAGAGCATGTAGAGCCATTAATTCACCAACTATTTATTGAGCATCTACTATGTGCCAGGAACTTTGGTAAGTACTAGAAAATATGATAAATGGCTTTAGGTGATAAACGTTTGATAGCAGATATGGAAAAAAGGGGATAAAGTAACTGATTAGAGGAAAAGAGTGTGGCTTCAAAGATCCTTGGAATCTGACGACCTCAAGGCTCAGAAGCAGAACTCAGGCGCATTATCAAAATCAGGGCTGTTCTGTCACACTGGGGAGTGAAAAATACTGACACATCTTATTTTACCAGTTTCTTCATCTAGATTATTGACCTCATTCCCCTAATACCAGTAAGTGGGGCGGCGGGGAATGCCATTGAACAGAACCATGTCCCCCTCCGCCCGCCCCCCCCCCCCCCGGCAGCTGCACAGCCTCTTCTTATGGAAGTTCTAATAAGACTCAATTGGTTATAGAGTCTGTGACCAGTAAATGATCCAGAAAACTGCAATTTCAATCTTTTTTTAAGATTTTTTATTGATTTTTACAGAGAGAAGGGCAAGGGGAGGGAAAGAAACATTGATGCAAGAGCGACACATCCATTGGCTGCCTCCCACCAGGAATTGAGCCTACAACCAGGGCATGTACCCCAATTGATGGGGAATCAAACCAGCAACCCCTGGGTGCCCAGGACAACGCCCAAGCAACTGAGCCACACCATCCAGGGTCACAATTTCAATTTTTTATTCTCGTTCTTAATAAACGATTATCCAAAGTCTTGGTCTATAGATGACAACATGTCTTCTGATTTCCACCCTCAGCTACCTTTCCTTGGGAATTCTATTCCTTCTTTCTTGCTAGTTATTCTGGGGTGAGCAGTCCTTCTGTTGCTACTACCACCTTTCACCACTACCTTTTCTGTTCTAGCTAAAAGGTTCTAGGTACCAAAGAACTTTATCATTGGTCTGATCTCTTTTCTTTAGGAAGCAAACACATTTGGTTCTTAGACTGAACAGCAACTAAGGCTGTTAATTTCTTTGTTCAGTTTCCATTTCACTGTTTCTCACGCATATAAAAAAGCTGATCTGGTACAACAATGACACAGGGCAAGAAATAGCAGCTGCCACATAATAAGATCCCTTGCCAGTTAGGTAGTGACTCCAGTAAGGTGCCAGCCTGCTTCTTCAGGATGAGGGGTTCTCCCACTCCTTGCCTTAGGCTTGGACTTAGAGAGTTGAAGGGGCCTGGAGTTATGACTACACACAAAACTCTTCATAGATGATGAAGCAGACCAGGGTAGTCAAGTTATGTGACCTCCAGGTTTCCTGACTTCCAAGCCAATGTTCTCTCTCTACATCATGTGAACTCTTACCGCATGCAGAGCTAGCTAAAACAGGTATTTCATGGGTTAAATGGGCTTTGGCAGGCTAGCCTGGGAACCTACTATTTACTACAGTTTCTCTGAGAAAACAAATTCTGAGTTGTGCCTGAGAATTCAGAACATATTTTCAACCTCCTACTCTTCTTTCCACCACCCTGGTGAACACATTAGGAATGTGTTCATTCCTGGCCATTAGGAATGAATGAGGAAGGCCATGTTGTCTTCTTAATAACACACTTGGAAATAAACAGAACACAATTTATTGATAAAACTGAAGCAAATGTTTATACAGGCAGATTCCTCAAATTTGAGGATTAATTGTTAGGATGAATCTTTTAGAGTTATCCAAATTAGCCACTTGTCTTTCTTAGAAATAAATCTGTTACTAATGCTTCCTCAGCCAACCAGCTGCAAAAGCACACATTATTCTTTGAAAGAGGAGCACAGAAAACCAGCTTACTTCCTGGGGCCTATGGGAAGGAATGTGAAAACCCCAGCTATTGGGGTGACACAGGACAGACCAGGACCTCTCCTTTTGAATAACAAAGCAAAATAAAGGGGTGGGGATAAGGGCGGAGCATTTAGATTGACTTGGAAAATACTCGTTGAGGTCATTTACATAGTATCACTTTGCCTAATTATGACAAAACATTGGGGATTACTCACCTCATTAAATATGTCAAGTTCAATTATTTGATTGCAACAACCAACCTCCTGTTCATAGTATCTAAGTCTTCATACTTTGTTGCTTATATAGTTGGGTTATGTGCTCACAGGTTTTAATATAATATAAAGGAAGAGTGCTCACCTAGAAACTGGAGGACAATGTACCTCGTACAGTTAGAGGCAAAGGCAATGGCAATGAATATGACTAATTATTTTACTTCCTATTGCACCAGCTTGTAAAATCTTGGGGAAGGATGGCGACAGCAGAGCTGCCTTCCAAAGCATCATATAGGAAACTTTTTCATAGTTTCTTTGGACACCTTGTTATAACATAGTTTGTGATCCTCATTTTATTAAAATCTATGGTTTTGTTACATAATGTATTCCTAAAAATATATACAAAAGTTGGGTAGTGGAAGTTGAATAAATCTGTATTATAATGGGTGGTTCTTTATGTAGAAAATGACAATTTTTTTTTTTTACCTCATCATCAGAGTTTCTTTGATAACACACGGTAGCAGTGGTTCATCCAAATTTTTTCATTTTCTTCTTTTATTTTTACACATGACCAATCATTTTGGATGTTCAATGAACACCTAGTGAGGGTTTAAGACTTGCCATTTTTTAAAAAATATATTTTAATGATTTTTTACAGAGAGGAAGGGAGAGGGATAGAGAGCCAGAAACATCGATTAGAGAGAAACATCGATCAGCTGCCTCCCGCACACCCCCCATTGAGGATGTGCCTGCAACCAAGGTACATGCCCTTGACCGGAATCAAACCTGGGACCCTTCATTCTGCAGGCTGACACTCTATCCACTGAGCCAAACTGGCCAGGGCTAAGACTTGACACTCCTGATCACCTCCATCCAAGTCTCAAGTATATCACATTAATGAGACCCAGGTTTCTCAATAGCACTTTCAATTTTATGTTTTCCACTTATTTTCACATAGGCAGTAAGATATTTCAGTATTGCACAAACAATGATGTGCATATAAAGATGCTGACACTATTGACTGGCAATAGGTTTCATCATGTTATTGATTTAAATGTTGGTCAATCAGAGAATGCACAAAAATATAAGTCTGGCATCCAAAGCAGGGATTAGAGGTATTGAATATTTTAAAAGTGTAGCTTTTATCAAAATCAAGTGTGGCAAATACAGAGACTGTCTATAAATAACAGGGAGGACAACCATACCAACATGATAATGTCTTGTTCTCCTTTTATCTCACAATTCCCTCTTTCTCCCAAAACAGTGGCAAGGAGAGTAAAGGGGCCATTGCAGAGTGGCTACCATGTGCCAGGCATAAGGTAGGTAATTTGCATAAACACTCACACTGTCTCTCTCTCTTTTTCTTTTATCCTCACCCAAGGATATGGAGAGAGAGAGAGAGAGAGAGAGAGAGAGAGAGAGAGAGAGAGAGAGAGAAACATCGATGTGAGAAACATTGACCCGTTGCTTCCCTTACATGCCCCACCTGGGGATCAAACCCACAACCTATGTATGTGCCCTGACCTGGAACCGAACCTGCAACCCTTTGGTGTACGGGACGATGCCCCACCCAGCTGAGTCACCCAGCCAGGTGCACAAACACTCTCTTGATGGTCATGGCCAATAGTGTATTTTATGTCAGAAAAAAACAACCACCAAGACCTCAGAAGCTATGAACTTCAATAGTCCTTGTTCGCTGGTTTGAGGAATGAGATAAAAAAAGAACCTTTCATTATTAAAAAAGAACCCAATAAAACTGTACTAAATGATCTTTAATAGTGTGGCTTTTATACATCTGTGTGGACAGAGAATAATTTCCTGGAAAACCACAAGATTTCTGACATTTTTTAAAGAAATAGGTCCAATACTAATTTTATTATATGGTTAAATATCAAATTAAGGACCTGTGTTTTGAAGGTAGATTGATGTGGCAGGAACTCAAAATTAATGACATACTTTAGGCTCTATATTCTCTGCACAAACAGATTTCCCAAACCCAGTGGTAATAATAGGTGTATAAGGGAATAACTATTTCTGCTTTAGGTTTCTTCCTTCCCCTTCGGACCCCTTAGCAGAGAAAATGCCAAGGACCCCCTCTCTCTTTATGGCCAGAACTAAGACCTGTAAAGACGGCAGAGCAATAAATGGGTCCCATCCCAAGCTTCTGGTCCCAACCACTAATAGATGCTCCTTGGCAGCATCACTTTTTTGAAAGCACACTGAAGTGTTAATGCCAAGTTTGGGGGGAAATACATGGTAGTTCCATACCTGGGAGATCATGGAAGAAAGAAACTTCTGGAGGACAAGCGTCAGTCACTGACTGAATTTCTACATCTGGGCACTTCTTGAGGGAGAGGGCTTGGCTATTTGGAGATGGACAGTGTGGTCCCCTAGAATTGGCAGGCCCAGGTTCTGAACTGCCTCTTCCTCTAGCCAACCAAACACTCTCAGCTCCAGACTTCTGGGAACCTCAGCTTTGACTTTTAGATAAGAGGAGATGGCTCTAAAGGCTTTTTCAGATTGTTGCCTGTGACCAGCCCTGGCATTTACACACTCTCCTGCAACACCAGCCTCCTGTTCACAGTCTCTCAGTCTTCATACTTCGTTATGTACATAGTTGGGTATCTGCTCACAGGTTTTAATACAAGATGAAGGAACAGTGCTGTCCAGTTCAACAGAAAAGTTGAAGAATCATTTAAAAATCAGGGTATGTCTTCTTACTTGAATACTGTAAGTACTAAATCATAACCACTTGTAGAAATTAGTCTGGACTAACAAATAAGTAAGGCCTAATATCAATGCATTTCAGTAAAATCACTTGTAATGCACATTTCTAACCAATCTTTCAGGCTTCCGACATGTCAAGTTAGAGGTAAGGATCCCAATTAAGTCTTCATCCTTTTGGCAAACAAGGGTATGGATCAATATACTTGGCAATGGTGACTAAAGTCCTTAGTTTTCCCCTCCTTCATGCCTTAATAATATCTTCTTTAAGGAAAGCCCAAACCAGCAGGGCTGCAACAATATCAGTAATGAGAGTGGGTCTCAAGGTCAGCAGTCATGCCATAAAACGTAACATGAAGACATCATTAGCAGGCTGGGAACTGCTCGTCTCAAAGTCCTGGAGTAGGCAGCTTCTAGGAGGTGGAATCAACGACCTCTGCGTGGAACGGGCGGAGGAGGATGGAAGATCTCCCTGGTTGGAGGCCTGAAATGAAAGATAAAGCAAAAGCATGACCTTGCAGATCCTGATGTCTACAGGCGTTCCCTATGTCAAACACTGCGAAGGAGAAAGTATTTGTCTCTCCAAGTTGAAAAATGCACCGTAACAGTTTGGTGATTACCAGAGGGGAAGGGGGCTGGGGAGAGGGAGAAAAGGGAAAGAGGGGATGAATGGTGATGGAAGAAGACTTGACTTCGGATGGTGAACACACACAATACAATATACAGATGATGTATTGTGGAATTGTCACCCCAATAAATTCAGTAAAAATAAAAAAAGAAAATGCACTGTGATATTTATTGGAATCATTCTCCTAAGGTACTATGCTATGTGTATAATTATAATAGATGTTTTTATTTGAGAGGGAAGAGTCTTTAACCTTTGTAATTACTGCATAATAATTTTTTAAAAGAGAGATAAAGCAACTATTTAAAAATGAATTTGATTAAGTAGTTTTTACGCATCCATGATTTGCTGTAAATCTGGTCTGTTATACAGAAGACGTGTTCCTTCATTAATGAAACTGGCCACACATAGGGACTTCCGAGTGACATACATGCTGGCTGTGGCTCACCATCCTCACGGCACATTAGAATCACCAGTCAAGCTTTGAAAAATACCATCCCCCAGGCTCTATCCCAGACCCATTCCATCATAATCTCTAGAGGATTGGGCTCAAGCATCAGAACATTTTAATAGTAACTCTCCCCCAGCCAGTTGTATTAACCAAGCCTTTCGTTTTCTGATGCTTTTACACCTGGGGCCTTGCTGATCTGGGCCTGAACAGGCTGCCCCTCGGTGGGTAAACTAATTCCTAGAGCTAGTAAACAATGTACCTGGGAGCACACCTTTCACAGTGCCCAGAACTGGAGCGGGGACTATCCACCTGCCCTAACCACCTCAGGGCGAGGTGCCTGACAACTGGAGGCAACCCCTTTGCCCCAGGCCGACTGAAATTACTCAATCTAGTCAATTCTAAATCTGCTAACCATCTCACGTGTTCCTTCCTGTGGAAACCACAACAAAAGCTCCTCTCACCTACGTTTTCCCCTCCCATTCTCCTGACTAAACCCAGTGGTGCCCCTGCTTAGGATCTGTGAGTATAACAGACTGTCTTTTCAACAGCAGTCATCCCTGATCTGTTGACCTTGCCACACCTGAATAATGACAAAACCTTTATTTTAAAACACCAGGAATTCACATATGCAGCCAGGCAGGAGACACACTATAGCAGGAAGGCCCCTTGAGAGAAGAATTAAGAATTTCCGGTCTGCTCCTCACAATGACTTCCTCAGGGATTACTGAATGTGTTATCCCAACACCACATTTGCTTTCCTAAAGCCCTCTCCCTGTTATTTGGGATGGTTTTTGAATAGTCTTAAATGACACTCCAGAGAGACTTGGGTAAGTCCTTTTAAAAACAGGTTCAACGATTGCGGGTGGTATTTCCACATATGTGCTCTAGAACTAATATCAATTCTCTTGGAAGCAAGTCAATAAGTCAAGAAAGAAAGCTTTGTCAGGTGCTGCAATTGAACTGTGTTACCCTGGAGTTGCGTACTTGAGGATTAAATGAATCAATGAGTAAATATTTACTAAATGTCTTTTGAATGCACGTTTTGTATAGGTCAAGGAAATGACAAAAATGGGAAAAGAAAGGCTCTCTCAAGAATGACAGAGAGAGGCAGAAGTAGGAAAAAATAACCACAGATATCCTCAGGAAGGTTGCTGTGGCGCCTGGGAGTAGCTGGTTTTATGTGGTTGTCGCTTTATCCAGAGAAAACAAATGGGTAAATCCCCTTCCATCTCCCCAGTCTACCCTATGAACTGTGGCTTATAGGGGAAATCCAGAGGACAGTCAGATGATACCACTTCTTCCTTCCTTCTTTCCTTCCTTCCTTCCTTCCTTCCTTCCTTCCTTCCTTCCCTCCTTCCTTCCCTCCTTCCTTCTCTTCTTTCCTCTCTTTCTTCCTTCCGTTCCTTCCTTCCTTCCTTCCTTCCTTCCTTCCTTCCTTCCTTCCTTCCTTCCTTCCTTCCTTCTTTCCTTTCTATAATAGATAAGCATTTATCTATTATCCATCCACTCCTGGATATGGGATGAAATAACAGCAAGTAAAATGGGCACAGATTCCATACTCACAGTGCTGAGAATGTAACAGATGAGAAAGACAAGGAAAGTCAGTACACTCTACAATGTTTTGACCAGGGAAGTCATAACCTATGGGAACATATAGCAGAGACATTTATGCACATGTCTGAAGGACAAGTTCAACTTCCCTGAACCTACCAAACAGAGGTAATGACACCTTCATTGGAATCCTTTGTGAGGATTGGAGATAACTATTGGAAAGAGGATAGCACAGTTTCTGGCTTAGAGTAGGCACTCAAGAAGTAAAGCTAATTATTTATCAATATAATTAAAGATCTACTCTTAGCTCTTTTTCCTATGTATGCTCTAAGAGCCATACTTTTATCTTCCACCACAAAGATCATCATGATTCCCTCCTGGCCCCACTCTGCAACTGGGGTGGGTCGGCAAACAAACCATCTCTAAATTTCATCCTGGTGAACAGCCCCAGCGAAGGTTTGGAGGTCCCATCTCAGGGAAATGGATTTGTGATTTTAAACATCTCAGATCCATGGGAGAAAAGAAGTATTAAACCAACCAAGGGTGGCCTGTGGGGAGACAGCCTCTGCAGGACCCTGAGAAGCCAGAGCTGGAGACACGATTGTCCAGAGACACTGGGCACTGATTGCTTTCTCCTCCCTGTGGAGGGTTGAAGTCTCAAAGATAAGCTTAGTTCAAGAACCCAGCAATCTGACATTGGTTAACATTCTTTTAAAGCGGCGCTGCTGTTTAGCTGGTATCATTTTGTATGGTCATAACATTGGTAAAAAATATATATTTTTTTAAGTTTCTCTATTAATTAGTAAATAGCCTTGGTCTCAAGTCCCCTCACTCCCTGACTACTTCAGTCCCTGCTGGAAACTCCACAGGCCTCTTTACAAGTCCAGCTTTAGGATCAACCTGGTACTGCAGAAGTCCCCAGAAGTGTGTTCTGATTAGGTGGTATGCAGGCTATGCCTTAAAGGGGACTTCACAGATTGTTAGTGACTGTCAAATCACTAGTAAATGGCAAAATAAGTTCAACAACAAAGGGGCAATGGCTCAGCAAGAATTTGTTTTTTCTCATGTGGCAGGACCTTACCTAAGAAGAGGATGGCATTGCCAAGTACCCACCCTATAGGGACTAAGGAGCCATGCAAAGATAAAGTGCATCTATTTGTCCCTGCTCTTGTCACGTCTGCCTTCCCTGATCTTGAAATATGCTGGGAACCTGCAACAGGTGGGAGTGTGAAGCCTCTTTCCAGTAACCTATAGTCCACCTGTGGTAGATGACTTGAGACTAACTGTTTCATCCAAACTAAACAGTACCAGTCCATGCATCCATCCATTCATTCATTTACATGGTAAATATGAATATTTGTTAAATTTCTAGTATGTTCTGGTTACGGTGGTAAGCATGGAGAGAGTAGAAAAAATTTTTTTTAATCAAAAACAGTTTCTATTCTCTCGAGGTTCACATCAACTTGAGGAGACAGGTATGTGAACATGGGCCACAATGTGGAATGAAGTGTAATAGAGATGTTTGGGGAATCACAAGAAAGTTCACCCAAGAGCATCAGGGAAGGCTCCAGAGAGGAGGTGATATTTGGACTGAGTCAATCTCCTAAGCAGAGATTGAAGACAGCATTTCAGGCAAAAGGAGCAGATTGAACAAAGACATGGTACCAACTGGCACAGCTCCCTGAGAATTTTTAAGGGGTGGAGCCTTGGTGAATACAGCAGGGTGGTGGGACTTAAGGCTAGATGGAGACTAGAGCTTGCTAAAAAAAAAAAAAAAATACAGAATTAAATGTGAAAGTGTATATGCCAGGAAGTGATATCCTCAGCTATTTCTGTTCTGGAAAGTGCTCTCTGGTTGCAGTGTGGAGGAGGGACAGACTAGAGGCAGAGAGATAAATATGGGCCTATGTGGATGAACTTAGGTACCGGCAGATGGAGAGGAGGGGGGGCATCTGAGAGCTGAAAGGGCAGCAGAATGGACAGGGCCTGGAGACACACTGGATGTGGGAGCTGCGAGGGAGGCAGGAATGGAGTTAAACTAAGTTGAGGCACATGAATGTTAATTAATTCAGCCAAGTTCACAAGGGACAGCCAGAGGAGACCTGTCTCCAGGTAGCGTGGTACTAGAGCCATGCTCCTCGCCACCATACCATGCTGCCTCTCACCTTAATTTTCATTCCCAATTCCATCTTGCCTCCTGGTTCCCAAAAGGCACTGTCTCCATAATACAGCCAAGGGAATTAGTTAGTAGGGAGCTAAATTCTAATAAAATAGATACAAATTATTCAAAAAGTTGATGTTTGCCAATGTATTTCATCGATGAAATATTCCATTTGCTATTAAAAATGTGTGCAACTGAATAAAGCGTCGCTTAAATTAATGAAGCGTCCACACTGAAAAATGACAAACGCAGACGCTCATTCTCAGGTCATCTTAGATGCCCCCAGCTCCTCCTCTCCCCTGGGATTTATCTTCCACCACGAAGATCATCATGATTCCCTCCTGGCCCCTCTTCTCCCTTTTGCCCTACTCTGCAACTGGGATGGGTCGACAAACAAACCATCTCTAAGTTCCATTCTGATGAACAACTTCAATTAACAACTTAAACAGGATTCAGAAAGTGAGAGAAAACTTTCCTATCAGCTTCAATGTTACCTCTGTGAGGCCGCTCGGGGAGGCACCCTGGGGGGCCTATCGATGGGCAGGGTGGATGCTCCGTCCACTTGTAGGGGGCCTGGACTCCGACTTCTGGTAACCTCAGGGACTTCATTATCCTACAGTAACAAAAACACAAGAAGGACTGGTGAAAATTACATCCAGCAACCAGCACGTTGAAAGTTCCCAGCATATTTCAAGATCAGGGAAGGCAGATGGACAGATACCACTATCCCCAAAGCCCCTCAGCCTCCTCAAGCTTTGGCTGAAGGTTATTCACAAACTTATCATCAACCCAGCAAAACCAGGGCAGTTTTCCATTGACTCCTGGAGCCGCTCAGGAGACAATCAGGCCCACAGGATCATTAATGGTCCTTGCTATTCAAAGCACAGTCTCTGGGCCATCGAGGTCAGCATCATCTGGACGCTTGTGAGAAATGACAGGATCTCAGGTTCCTCCTCGGACCTGCTCAATCAGAACTTGCATTTTAACCAGATCTTAGGCAATTCTTATGAATATTAAAGTTTGAGAAGCACTGCTCTATATAACCAGATAGAGCTGGAGAATTTTTATTTTTAAACAAAAGTCCCTTTGGTGGACAACAGAACCGTCATAGGGCAAAACAAGCTGTGCACTGAAGGGGTGGCCCACTCCTAGGACCCTTTCTCAGGGAGTCTCCTGGGCGACCCTTTCCCATGTGACCCTTCCACTTGTCCCAGCCCCTGGTCCCTGAGTCAGAACCATAAGCCAAATTGGGCCTCGGCCTAAGTCACCCAGCTACTCCCTACTGCTAGGAGGTCCTGTGGCTCTCAAGGGACTAGTTGCCACTCTACCTGTGGAGGCAGAAAAGGCCAGGGAGCTCTGAGAAAAGAGAGCAGATATGCACAGAGAAGTAGAGACGATAGAGTTGTGGCCCTGAGAAACACAGACCGGTGGCATTGGCTCTAGCATCTCGCCACTCCTGATTCAGGCCCCAAACTGTGATCACTGTCCCTGATTCCCTGAGGCTCATCTAGCTCCTTCTCATAGATGCCCCTTTGGCTTAACTAGCCTGAGTGGATTTCTTCCCTCCCTCCCTCATTCCTTCCCTCCCTTCTTTCCTCTGTTTATTGAGATGAAATTCTAAACGTAAATTAAATCATTATAAAGCCAGCAACTCACAGTGGCATTTAGTATATTCACAATATTGTCCAACCACTAACTACCTCTATCTAGTCCCAAATCATTTTCATCACCCCCAAAGGAAACACTGTACCCTTTGAGCTGGTTCTTCTTGTTTCCCCCTCCCCCCAGCCCCTGGCAACCACCAATTTGCATTCTGTCTCCATGGACCTACCTATTCAAGACAGTGCATATAAATGGAAGCCCACGGTATGTGATCCTTTGTGTCTGGCTTCTTTCACCTGGATTGCTATTTCGTGCAATAAGATGACCCCTAGGACAAGACAGATGGGGGTCTTGGCTCTCACTCACCTCATTGTCCCCCTCCATCCCGCTGCTCACACTGAGGAGGCTCCGAGTGCTGGATCGGTTGCTCGTGCTGCCTGAAGGGTACAAACAAAATCAGCAGGACCGTCGATCCTCTCAGGCTAAAATACAATGCACAACTCTAGCACTTACTTTTTTTTACCGACAGCATCAATACACAAGCTGGGAATATATGTGTCTTCAAATGTTGCCATCTTATACCATTTTACTAGAGGTCAGTTTTTCTTTCCGTATAAAACAAAATGGTTCACCTTTTTATTACATATCTTGCTTTACAGCTACCATTTACGGAGGGCTTCCCACACATTATCCTATACAGTGGTTCTCAACAGCGACCTAATGCCGCGACCCTTTAATACAGTTCCTCATGTTGTGGTGACCCCCAACCATAAAATTATTTTTGTGGCTATTTCATTACTGTAATTTTGCTACTGTTATGAATCATAATGTAAATATCTGATATGCAGGATGTATTTTCATTGTTCGTGACCCACAGGTTGAGAACTGCTGCTATATAATAAAAGGCTAATATGCAAATCAACTGAACAGCGGAATGACTGGTTGCTATGATGCACACTGACCACCAGGGGGCAGATGCTTAATGCAGGAGCTTCCCCCTGGTGGTCAGTGTGCTCCCACATGGGGAGCGCTGCTTAGCCAGAAGCCTGGCTCATGGCTGGCTAGTGCAGCGGCGGTGGTGGGAGCCTCTCCCGCCTGCACAGCAGCGCTAAGAATGTCCAACTGACGGCTTAGTTGATGTCCCAAGAGCCCCCGGACAGCAAGAGGGCCAGGCTAAGGGACCCCCCCAAGTGCATAGATTTCATGCACTGGGTCTCTAGTGTGCTATAAAAACATTATTGCTTAACCCCTATGAAAATGCTATGTGGTACTAGTGCTCTGATTTGACAGACAGGGAAGTGGAGATGCTCTATTTCTCACTTGTTTGGGCCACTTCTGAAAGCTGCAAACAAATTTTGTTGAAGTTTTCTACTTAAATTATGTCAAACATATGCATGTATCACATTGTACAATCCAGAGGGAATGTGGGCAAGCAAGTCATCAGCCTGCAGAGGGTGAGGGCCTCAGCCTCCCTCATAAATGAATGGTCCTTTCAAGCCACTGTGTTTGGGGCGGTGTGTTACATAGCAATAGGTAACTGAAACTGTGTAACAGGGACCGGATGTAGTCTATAGCCACAGGGTAGGGTAAAATCCATCAGTGTCATTTACTAATATTTTCTAGCCAGAGGAGCTAGCCATTCCTAGGTTATAAATGGTAAGAAGCACCGTTTATGTTTTCCATTCTGTTCTTACCCCAAACTAACTCAAAGTAAAACACATGCATAAAGTCTTTAAAATTCATCTGTACCTGAACCGAGGACTTTGCCTTTGTCTTGTTAAATTTCCCCTCTCCCTACCCTACAATGGACTGCCCTCACTTTGAGATGGTTTATACCACTTTTGTCCTCCAAAACATCTGAGAGATGAGCCACGTGCCCCTTGCTTCCTCCATCACCTGTGACCACTGGAAAAATCTCTCTCATTTCTGAACTTGTCAGAATTCTCTAAATTGCCTTAAGGGAATTTTAGATACACATTATCACCCTCCATAATGTAAGGGGAAGTTCTCTCTGTCCAGTCTAGATTCCCATGTGGTCATGTGATATGCTTTGGGTCTGTTTTGACAGGTAACAGTGGCAGGAATGTTAACCTGAGAGGAGCTGGATTCCACTCCCATTTTGCCACTCACTGGCTGTGTGACCTTGGGCAAAACTCTTTCCTTTTCTGGGTTACAAATACTCTATCTATACAGTAAGGAGGGAGACTAGTTCAGAGGTTCTTGACCTAAAAGTGAGCAAAAGTGTGTGTGTGTGTGTGTGTGTGTGTGTGTGCGCGCGCACAAGCATATGCATTTTTCATAAAGTGCATCGGGAGCAGGTATCAGATCCACCAGGGGGTTTGTGATGCAGAAAAGATCAAGAACCCTTGGGTTCGATGACTTTCCTGTTCCGGATTAAATAATCACTATTGCCATCATTCCCAACAGAAACTAAGGCACAGAGAAGTGAGGCAGCACGCCCCCATTATACCTCTATTGCCTGACATTCCTATTCCAACATCCAATGCCAATGCCTGCCATTTAAGGAGACGTGAGTCCTGAAAGTCAGCTTGTCTCTGGCTCTTTCACCGCATTCCTAGCTGTTTTGATAACACTAAAATGTATAAAAGAAAGGATACTCCATCTACTGGGGTGGTGAAGTCAGCTAAGACCGCCTTGGATGCGGAAACAAGTCCCCAGCTCCTGTCTGCACATCAGCGCCTATTGTCTGCTACAATCAGGCTCCTATTCAAGCTTTTGAGCCAAAAGGAAGACATTTCCTAATTAAATCCTCACCCATATTGTTGGAATTCTCAAATTTGAGTCCATTGTTTTCTAATGTTTTTGACTTTGTGCCCTTTCCCTCTCCTTAACACCGCTGAGGAAGCAAAAAGAATAATGGTTAAAGTCTTGGCCCTAGACCAGTCTACCTGAGTTCAAATCCCAGCTCTACCACTTACCAGCTATTTACCGGAGGGCAAGGCACTTAGCCTCCAGTCTCCTCCCATGCAGTCATTATGATAATTAAATTAAAGAAGCTATGGAAGAGACTTAGCATGTAGTAAGTGCTCAGTGTTAACTGGTATTATACTAGATTCTCCTATTCATAAAAGGGATAGGGTAGCAATTATACAATCTGGCTTTAGGGAGTATTTGTGTAATGGATCTTTGGTCCCTGAAAAAAGGTGAAACTCACAGGTTAAATGCCCCTCATTTCTTACACCTTCCAAACCCAAAGCAGGTTCCTATTGAGATGTGCGGGGCTCATCACAGAGCCTGTGTCCAAGGCCCAAAGGCACCAGCCAGCTGAGTCAGCTGTGAAAGCACCTTCTCCCCACCCCGCCCGCACCAGGCTCAGCCTGCTCACTCGCTGTGCTGGAGGTGCTGTCTGTCTTCCAGTCTCCCCGTCTTAGCTCCGTCCTTGGGGGGAAGACGCTTTTCCTGGGGCCACTCTCATAGACTCCAATCTCCACTTTGCTGGGCAGCAGCTGTGAGTGCCTAATTGGGACGGTGATCTCCAAGGCTGGAATGAGAGGAAAAGGGGATTAGCTTCAAGGCACGAGGCTGCCATTTACCAAACTGTTCGGCTGTTCCCTCTCCATCTGCCTCCCTCACCGGAACCTGGACAGTGTCTGGAGGAGAGCGGAGAGGAGGGGAGGGAAGAGGAGAGAGAAAAGAGAAGAGGAAGAGGAGGGAGAACAGATGGGGCTCTGCCCAATTCAGCACCGAAACTCCACAGAGTCCTGTGTGACCATTGTTGGGGAGCAAAAGAGAGAGATGGAGGATGTGAGAAAGAGCAGGGAAATGCTTCCTTCCTGGGTAGTAGTGGAAAGAACATTTGATTAGGGAAAGGTCTGGGGCTCCAGCTGTGGAACGGGAGTCATTCAGTTGACCTCTCCGGATTCGTTCTCTTTGTGAGGAGGGGGTGTGAACATCATTGATCCTAATAATAGGTTATCCTGTGCATTAGGTAGAATTCTCTTTTTTCCCCCATTAATTTCAAAGAGGAAGGGAGAGGGAGAGAGAGAGACAGAGAGAGAGAGAGAGAGAGAGAGAGAGAGAGAGAGAGAGAGAGAGAGAGAAACATCAGTGATGAGAGAGAATCATCGATCAGCTGCCTCCCGCAGGCCCCACACTGAGGATCGAGCCTGCAACCCAGACATGTGCCCCAACCTGGAATCAAACCATGACCTCCTGGTTCATAGGTTGATGCCCAACCACTGAGCACACCAGCCAGGCAACATTAGGTAGAATTCTAAGAGCAGCCATATTTTTAGCTCCCTGAAACCTCCCAACACCATGAAATAAATGCTATTGTCATCATTCCCAACAGAAACTAAGGCACAGAGAAGTGAGGCAGCACGCCCCCAGTATACAGCTGGCAAGTGGGACAGCTGGGCTTCGAAGCAGGCTCCAAAGTTCAGGCTCTTCAGCACCACTCACACTGCCTCTCAGTCCCTTAATAAGTGATGGATGATGGGTGGGTGGCTCACAACTGACAACAGAGAGTTGTGAAAGGAGGCCCAATGGCCTGAGAAAGATTTCGTACTTGGAAGACTGATGGATGGTCTTAGGCCCCACAGATTCAGAAAGATAGATTATTTCTTTGCTCTGCAAAGCATTGACCTGATCTCTCTCTCTCTCTCTCTCTCTCTCTCTCTCTCTCTCTCTCTCTCGTTTTTTAAATCCTCACTCAAGGATATGTTTTCCATTACTTTTCACAGAGAGTGGAAAAGAGGAAGAGAGGGGGAGGAAGAAAAAAAAAATTTATGTGAGAGACACACTGATTGGCTACCTCCTTCAAGCTCCCAAACGGGGCTAGGGATCAAACCTGCAAACCAGGTACGTGCCTTTTGACAGGGAATCAAACCTGAGACCTTTCCATATGTAGGCTACAACTCTAACCACCGAGAAATACCAGCCAGGGCTGGCCTGATCTTTTCATTGGCTTAGCCCTGCCCAGTGGTTGGTCTTTCTCACTAGGTTTCCACCCCTGGGTTCTATGCCCAGAAAACAACTCCTGCTGTATAAGCAGAACAAAACATCTCTAGGCAGCACACTAGCTTCCTCCCCTGGGAAGTGTAAAAGCCAGGTGAGCTCCCCTAGCTGCCATGAGGCAGGACTTCTGGGGAGAGGTGCAAGCTCAGGTGTACATGCCACCTTATCTTCCAGGTACCACTTCCTCCTCCACCCCACTCTTCTATGAGATAGGCATAGCAGGAAGTTCAGGGAGTCCAAGGGTAGGTGGCTCTGTTTGCCAAAGCCAGAAGTCTGCCAATAAGGGCACACGGATAAGCTAGACCATGAAAGAGCTGGTGTGAAGACAGGATAGACCAAGTGTATGAAAAACATCCTGCACAGAGAATATGAAAAAGGTGCATTGTTGGCCCTGGCTGGGTGGCTCAGTTGGTTGGAGTGTTGGCCTGTACACCAAAAGGTTGCAGGCTCATTTCCTGGTCAGGGAACATACCTAGGTTGCAGGTTTGATCCCCAGTTGGAGCATGTACAGGAGGCAATTGATCGATGTTTCTATCTATCTATCTCCTTTCCATACTCTCTAAAAATCAATAAAATCATATCCTCAGGTGAGAATTTTTTTTTTTTTTTAAAAGGTGCATTGTTGGTTTGTGAAGGCACAAGCTCTCCTCATTCTAGAGACTCCAGTTCCAAGTGCAGTGCATGGCATTAGTATTAAACCAGCTTTCCAGGTCTCTATGTAGCACACATCTTTTTCACCTCCTTGGGCTCTCTTGGTTACAACTGAATAGTGGGAGCACCCACCCATGCTTGGAACTGCATGAGCAGAGACTAGCAGGGTGTACCCGCATACGGGTGTGAGCCTATGGGTTTTTAGAGTCCAAATAACTGTCTTACTTTTCTGTCTCTCTCAGCTTTGATCTAGCATGTTTTGTTGTTGTTGTTTATATATTTTTTATTGATTTCAGAGAGGAAGGGAGGGGGAGAGAATCATTGATCAGCTGCCTCTTGCACTCCCCCTACTGGATGGAGCCAGCAACCTGGGTGTGTGCCCCAAGGAGGAATTGAACTGGACTTCCTGGTTCCCAGGTGGACACTCGACCACTGAGCCACACTGGTTGGTTCCTGGCATTTTTTTTTTTTAAACAACAATCTTTTAAAGGGAGGCTCCTGTTTGCTTCACTCACTTCAATGAGACAATAGTCTACTCTCAACCAATTCTAGGAGGAAGAACAGTAGAATACATGGGGGCGGGGAAAGGGGAGTCAAAAGTTAAAAAAATCAAGCAGAACCAGTCTAAGTGTCTACAAAGTCCTGACAGCCTTTGAGCAAAGGAACAATGCCAGGGATACTAGTGACCACTACTAGATTGCGTAGGACTTTCCCCAAAGTGCACTCACATGTGTTATTATACCTCCTTTGAACGTCACCATTTCTCCATTAAGTAAGTAAGTCAGGTGTAACCATGAATGAGGAAACTGAGGCACAGAGTGGCTCAAGGTATTGTCCTGGATTATAAAATGATTCAGTGACCCAGTGGGGATCAGAAATCAGGTTTCCTGGGACCCAGCCTGCTGATCTTGGTCCTGCCCCGGACTGGCCACAGACACACCCAGAACACAAATATTGATTGTCTTCTCTGTGGGGCCGGGGTGTTCAACAAGTCAGGAGCCACGCCAGCCCTCCTCTGCTTTCCTACACCCTCACACTGCCCTGCACCATCCCAATAAGAGCAAAATAGTTCCCTGGGGCTGAAGAAAGACTGGAAAGTTATTATGAACAGATCCTTACTTTTTAGTTATCCGTGGTGTGCTAACCCAAATTAAAGGAAAGGGGTCGTTGTTTTTCTTTTCTAAGGCAAATGAAGTTTCTAAATGAAGAGGGGCAATCTTTCTGTCTAGAGAGGGCTCCATTTCTGGGAAATGTCCTTTAATCAGAAATGCCACCATCAACCCTTATTTTAGATCAATGTTATTCTGTGCCAACGGTTTTCGGTTTTTATGAAGCAGAATTCTTTCCTCTCGTGAAAACAGAAGCTCGGTGTAGAAAACAAATATTTTAAAGGAGCTGTGATGGTTGAAGCAGAGTAAGTGGCCTCCAACTCTGTTCCAATCCTAATCTCCTCCCCCATCGCCCACCCCACCCCCAGTTCCAACTCCCTCCCACCCCCCCCCCATCCCCACAAGCATGCACACAGTGTGAAAAATCCCCGGAATAGGCAATTACAAGTTAGTATGTTTCTAAACATATATATATATGTAATCGAGTTTTATGGAGATAACTGATAGATCATATTTACTCAACCACAAATAATGCCTTCTCTTTGGCAGGTGCTCTGAAGCCCTTGGGCCACACCGTCCAGTGCAGGGTCCAACTCCCAACTGCTGCGGCTTCCTCTGGTAGCCAGATTGCAAGGGTCCCCCGCCCCCACCCCCAGCAGGCCTCAACCGAAGACATGGGAGCCGTTGTCTAAATACCCTGGCTCTCTTACCCTTCGTGCATCCCCACATGCATCACCAAATTGCAGCTTTCTTGATGCTGCCTAGATTTAAAAGCTTGAATGCTTCACTTAATCAAGGCTTCTTTTGTTGAGTGTATGTGTTCTAGTTTTAAAAAGCGCCTCTGCCCTAGCCGGTTTGGCTCAGAGGATAGAACGTCGGCCATCGGAATGAAGGGTCCTGGGTTTGATTCCGGTCAAGGGCACACACCCCGGTTGCAGGCTCCGTCCCAACCCTGGTTTGGGGCATGTGCAGGAGGCAACCAATTGATGTGTCACGTCGATGTTTCTCTCTCTTTGTCTCTCTCCCTCCCTTCCACTCTCTCTTAAAAAAAAAAAATCAATGGAAAAATAACCTTGGGTGAGGATTACCAAAAAATAAAAATAAAAAGCACCTCAGTCCCTTTACTACCCAGAGCCCTACTGTCCAATCCAAGGATGACTTGCAGATCTTGAACCAGATTTTCTGCCTTTTCTCCTTTCTCCTCCTCTCGCCAGCAGGGCAGACAAGTGTGGGCTTAACTAGTGGCGGTACACATTTAAAATCTGGTCGCTCAAGCAGACATAAGAGGTCATCAGGATGATCTCTCTGACCTTCTGCCATGGGTGTAACCTCTTTACATCCTTCTTCTCCCAAATATTAAAAATCATTAATACTCACTAGGCTAGTATTATATGCAAAACACTGTGCTAGGCTCTCGCTGGGAAAACCAGACTTACACAAATAAAAGTCTAACTCATGAGCTACTGGATAGCGAAGATTGTGTCTTATGGGTCTCTGTCTTTGACAGGGTGCTCGGTGCTCAACAAGTATTTGTGGAATGAATGAATGATGTCACCAAACATTTTACTGAAACCAACCATACCAACAAAGATTTCTTGAGCCCCATCAATGTACTTGCTACATGTATTGGATTCAGTCGAGACAAAATTCTTACCCTTAGAGAGCTTACAACAAATAAGGGGGTGGTGTGTGGGGGGAATAACCATGAGAACAGGAACACAGGATCATCCAGTCTGTGATGTGTAAAAGGAGAGGGTAAGCAGTGGCACAGGAAGTGAGTGTTGGAAGTGCTCTGGAGAGAATGGCAGAGAGGGCTTCTCTGAGAAGGAGAATTTACAGCCAAGCACTGAAGGATGAAAAGAGCCAGCCAGTGAAGATGTGGGAGAAAAGTAGAGAGAGGACAGCATTGGGGACAATGCTCTTGGCTTGATAGAGCAACAAAAAAGAGTCCGTTTATACTGGAGAGGACAGAGGGGAGGATGAGCCAGGGGGCAGTTATGCAGGACCTTGGAGGCCAGAGTATCATTTTCCTCTGTCTGCAACAAAAGTCCCTGGAGGGTTTTGAGCAAGGGAATGGCACAATCTGATTGTTTTTTTGTTTGTTTGTCTGTTTTACAAAGTCTTGGCTGCAGTTTGTAGGATTAACTGTAGAAGAATAAGAATAGACATGGGGAGACAATGGTAGAGGCTCCTGCATTAACCCAAGAAAAGGTGATGGCAGTTTGGTTGTAGCTGCAGCATGGGAGATGGTTGGAAATGAGCAGATTTAAGGTGCATTTTGGAATTGATGGTTTGAGTGAAGTATCAGCACTCAGAGGTAGCAAAAAGAAGCATGAGATGAATGGGAAAATAGCAGTTCTATAGATGCTCTAATGAGGAAGGAATACAATGGCCTGGAGTGGTCCAGGAAGGCTTCACCGTGAAGGGCTGCCAGACTGGGTCCTACAGTCCAGTAATTTCATACAGATGACAAGGGAGAGGCATGAGCAGGAAGTGGCAGGAAGACGTCCTGTTTGAAGACTAGGGTGTTACTACCCTGTCCAGGTTCAGGGGAAGTTGGGCTGTTGATGGCAGCTGGAGAAAGACTTAACTCTTTATGTAATGAGGCTCCATTCAATATCTGAGAGCTCCTGGAAGTTGTTTTTTTTTTTGTTTTTTTTTGTTTTTTTTGCCAGCTCCTCTCGGTGTAAGGCTGGCTAGAATAAACCGTAGAGGCCCACCTGCCACAGGTTCTCAGTGGGAATATGCAGTGTGAGCAAATGCCCACTCCTTGCAGGGTGGTGGTGCCACATGGAGGGTGAGTCAAGGGGAGCAGAGGGACCTGGTCCTTAGTGTGCACAACTGGGATTCATGGCCATGACACATGGCAGGAGCTCTGCTAGGCTTCTGAAGCAGTGTGTGGTGTGGACACCGATGGCACAATTCCCTGCTTGAATCAAAACAGGTACTATGCAAACGGGATTTTCTCCTTTATCTGCACAAAAAACATATCTTCTTGGATGCCCCGGGGAGAGTTGGTGCCCGGAGAGAAACCATCCTCTTTGAGTGGGAGGGTAGAGGGATGCAGAGTTCAAGCCATCCATTCATTCACTTGGTGACTAGCATGTCTTATGTCCCAGGTACCAGACATAGAGAATTAACAAGACGAAGCCATTGCCCAAAAGGACCTCACAGTCTAGCGGGGGACCCAGTTATGTAAACAGGGTGACAGGTGCTGGGCAAGCAGCAAAGTCCCTCACCCCAGCAAGCCACATACCTGTCTGCTTTCCTGTTTTTTGCTTCTCTCTCTGTCTTCGGGTGATGCTATCTCTTAGCCGTTTAAGATTTTCCTGGGGAAAAATTAATTTGTTTTTAGAGTATGCATCAGAGTTATATGCCCTCTAGACATTAGAGTTTCTTTCTGATTTTAGGCTGTTTGTAAGATATATCACATTGCAATAATATCTCCAACATGCAAATGAGGCTGGGTGCATTTGCAATCTGCCCTCAGAGAAATCCAAGTACTCTTAGAAGTTGTGCCTGAAGAGAAGAGACACCTTGTCCACAATAAAGTGTTTCCCAGCTCCCTCCCAGCCTTATAACCCACTGCCATCCTCCTTGTATGCCCCTTAGCCAAGCCAGTCTGTTACCTGCTCATAAACACTCCATGCACATTCCTGCCTCAGAAATTGTGTTCTGATTCCCCTGACCTTGAAGGACATCAATTGCTTTCCATAATTTTGTTGCAAGCCTGGGTCAAGGCTCCCCTTCTCCCTAAAGCCTCCCTACTCTGCTCCGGTCCTTTGTGACTGCCCATGCCATCTGGCACTGGGCTATGCTGCATGCGCGTGTACGTGTGCGCGTGCGTGTGTGTGCGTGTGTGTGTGTGTGTGTGTGTGTGTGTGTGTGTGTGCATGTGTGTTTTCTTCAGAAATACTGTGAACTCTTAAAGGGCGAGACCAGGTCATGCATCTTTCTGTAATTCTGCAGTCAGGTCTATTGTAGTCATTCAATAAATGTTGAATAGACGCGAGGGTAGAAATTTGTTGCTATTTTAGTCAATAAACAACAACCACTGGAAGTGAACAGTCTGCGCATTCTAGGGAAATGTCCCCGGGACTAACATCCAGACATGCAGAAGGTTCCCATGCGAGAGGCCAGACTGCAAGGTGGGTTGGGCTGTGACTGTGACTGAGAGACTAAGGTGGGTCCACGGAGCAGTAGGGAAGCACTGGAAGGTGTGTGTGTGCGCGTGCGTGTGTGTGTTAACTTGGGTGGTTTTATATCTATGACTTATTTTATCATATTTCTTGGGAGCTTTCCAAGTGCTCTTTGAGTTCTAAAGTGTGAAAGTTCTGTGGGAGTCTTGCCACTAGGAGTAGAGACAGAGACTCTGGAAAGAAAAGGCTGGAAAGCAAGAGCATAGGGCCCCATGCGGAGGGAAGCCACAGCCACAGATTTGGGGTTTACAGTTGAGTCTTTGTTCCTGATCTCTAGCCTTGCGACAACCAGAAAAGCCACCCAGCTCTCAGCCAGGGAACAGGGGTGGTTACAGGTGACAGATCCACACATGCACTGACTCACAATGGCACTCAAAAAACGTTCACCGGCCCCGCCGCAGGGGCTCAGTTGCAGCCACACAGAAGACAGCTGTGGACCTGGCCCTCCACTCCTGTCTAGGAGAAACACGAAACCAATTCGTTCCGGAGCCAGCTACCTGCTGGAAGCGAAAGGATTCCGACCGCTTCTTCTGGTTGAGCTGCCACTCTTTGAAGTGGAGCACGGCTTCGTCCACGTTGACGATGCCCAGCTTCACCTGCTCCTGGAGGGTGATGAGCTGCCGCTGGCCTGGTGTTTTCATCCCAGCAAAAGGATCATATATACTTGACGGGGGCCTGTCTCTCCACGGTCTGACGGGAGGCTCTGGAAAGGAAGGCAAAACTCAGCTTGACAGCTCCCCCACTGGGCCGTCATGGATGAGTGGGGTTAATAAGGCTGGCCCTGGGCTCAAGAGGACATGTCTCACAAGAACAATTGCACGTGAAACCAAGAAGGGGCGCAGATGATATGGAATCAGAGAGAGGGAAGCAGCTAATAACGTCAAAGCCTATTACATGAAAGTAGAAAAGGCCACAACATTTTAGGGAGGTCGGAAATCTGCTGATGAGTAAGTGAAATCCCTCAAGCCTGCCTTACTGAGAGGCCTGAGACCAGCATCTCTCAACCTAGGCACTAGGGACATTCTGGACTAATTCTCTGTCGTTGGGAGACTGTCTTGTGCACTGCAGGATGTTTAGGATCGTCCCTGGCCTCTACCCACTAGATGCCAATAACACCCCATTCCTCAGCTGTGATGTCCCAGACATTGCCAACTGTCCTGGGTGGGTGGGGGAGGAAAAAGCACCCCCAGTTGAGAACCACTGCTTTAGCCTAGAATCCACTCCCAGAAGGGAATTTACAGGGAAGTCTAGCCAGGATGCTCTCTCACACTCCTAGCTCTCCCCATCCTCCCTGCCTCTGAGCAGCATGGAGCACAAGGATGGTGGACCTATGGGCATCAAATGCCCGAGGAGACTGGCATGCCAATGGAATCATGACCCAGGGCCAATGTCACCAGGTGTAAATTAGGTGCTGGGTCCCAACGGGCCCTCCTTGGGTTGTGCCAACCTCTCCTCCACATTACAAATTCATAGCTCTCTGCTGTGGAGATTCAAGGGAAATATGAAGTGAACCCCTCTCTCTCCCCGAGGCTGTGACTCCACTATGTTCTGTGGGGACTGAGCTACCTGCAGAGGTGATGGGGCCCCTGGATCATGGGAAGACAACTTGACATTTGACTGCTCGGTTCATGTGGAGCTATCCTCGATTCTACATTTCTCTAGCAGGACCCGATTTGGGCACTGTGATTCAGGGAGATGGCAAGAAGGAAAAAAGAGAGGTGGCTTCACCAGGGGGTATTCAAAAAAGCCTCAGGGGAGCTTATCTATCAGCCTTCCCAACTATTCGCTCAGCTGTCTGCACACACTCACATGCCTTTCTCCCGGGTTTGTCCTTCTGACGTGCATGGCAAGATAAAATGTGGGGAGAAAACAAAATGTACAAACCAACCAATTCCAGTCTACAACCTCAGGGATGCCTTCCAATGCTTAGAGGGTGCCATCGATCCTTTTCTAAAGAATCATCAATGGGATAACATGGAACACCTCTGTTTAGCACAAGGAAATTCATCAAGAAGAAAAGAGCACCTATCTCCTCAAGCTTCCTTAAAAAAGTCTTTAAAAATAAGAAAGATGCTATCCAATGGCAAGCAAACGTCTCTTAAATAAGCCAGAGAAAGACAAGTATCACATGATCGCACATGCATGTTAAATCTTATGAACAAAATGAACTGATGAACAAAATAGATCCAGAGACATGGAAGCATGGAACAGACTGACGAATCTCAGAAGGAAGGGGGTGCAGGATGCGGGATGTGGGAAGAGATTAACCAAGGAGCTTATATGCATGAATGCATATCCCATGGACACAGAAAATAGTGCGGTAGGCTGGAGGGGTGGGGGGGGGGAGGAGGGTGTGGTCAGGTGGAAGGGGGGGCACGGGGGACATCTGTAATATTTTCCACAATAAAGATAAATTTTTTGTAAGTAGTTGCATTAACATATAGTTTAGTGAGGATAGATGGGTAAGTAACATGGTAGGACTGTATCACCGGGTCAAGACTGAGTGCTGGGCCACCCACTTTCATCCTGTTGAGATTGAACTCGATATTCAGATTATACTTTTGTCTGCTGTTACAGACACTTTCTAGAGTGTTACAATCCCTGGTGTGATCAATTCCTACAATATCTGTGGGCACCCCAATCTCTTCTCCCCTCCCTTTCCCATCAGGATGGGATTCTCAGGCAGCTCCACCCCAGGTATCTCCAGGCCCTTCCTATTTATCAACGCCAACTAAGGATCTGCCATGACACCAGGGAATCGCTGAAACGCTAACACTGCTACCCCCTGGGAGTTCAGACGGAAGGGAGCCGAGAGCAGCTGGCTTACCTTTCCTGACGCTCTCTGAGGAAACATAGAAATTCCCAGGCCGCTCTTGACTTTTTTCTGCAAAAACTGCGAGATAAACAGTATTCTAGGTAAAAGCCAAATCAGATCTCTTTCTAAAGGACTTTAAAATGTCTTACACATTTACAAAAATTACCAAGACCTTGTTCAAAATTAATAATCATAATCACCTCACACCTTGGACTACTGTATGCATATTATTACATATTTACATATTATTAGTATGTAAATCAAAACTCTCAGAGGAGCTACCAATGAGCAGAAGTTGCAGGGATTAGGAGCTGAGGACAAACCAAACAGACAACGTCTCAAACCCAGAAAGACAAAGCCAGATCACTACAGAGAAGAGTGATGTGAACGATGTGTACCGGATCCCCGAATGCCCGAAGCGAGCCATGGAACACCTTGAAGCTTGCACATAAAAGGAAGTGCCACTTAACATGTCAACGAGTGGCATAAGACAGAACTCGGGCGGTGGAACAGGTGCAATGGGCACAGCTCCAAAGGAATTTAGATGAAGTCACTCATGAGTGGCAGACCCATCAAGGCTAACAGGGAAAACTAAAGTGACAAATGGCCCCCTAGTGGCCTGCACAGTGGTTAGGACTCCCTGGGCTCTGCACAAGACTCCCTGGATTCAGATTCCGGCTCGCACTTACGAGCCACGTGATCTTACACAGAGGCTCGACCTCTCCTGGCCTCAGTTTTGCTGTCTGTAGAATGAGAATGATAACAGTATCTTCCTTGTTGGGTTGTTGTGGGGATTACATGAGTGAGTACATGGACAGCACTTAGACAAGGGCCTGGCACATGTAAGCTCTCAATTGTAGCTTTGATTATCATTATTCATATCTAAACCTTGAAATTGATGCCGATAGGACAGTAATACCTAGACATGCTACTTAACACAACTTAAATCAATACAGTGCTTTACAGTTTATAAAGTAGTTCCCCGTGTATGATTTCATTTGACTCTTACAATAAGGCTATAGAGAGTATTATTATGCATTAATATGATATATTCATCAGTGCATGCATATATTATTATGATACCCATTTTGTAGATGAGGAAGCTAAAGAGAGTGCAATGACTTAACCACTGTCCTATACTGTGCAGCTGGTAAATGTAAGGGCTAGGGCATGAACCCAGGTTTTCAGGTTTCCAAACCACTGCCCTTCTTGTCATCTCCTACCTCTCTCCTTTCCTTTGCTTACCCACCGTTTCTTAGCAAGTCCTTTAGTGCTCTTTAGGAATCACCCATGCCCCTGTTTTAACTGCCTCCCCGAAATGAGCTGTGCCATCAACACCTCATCCTTCACCCATGGACACAGACAATAGTGCGGCATGCTGGGGGAGGAAGGTGTGGTCGAGTGGAAAGGGGGAAAAAGGGGACATCTGTAATACTTTCAACATTCACCCTCTGCCATTTAGGCCTATTTGCATGTCTCTTCATTGGTTCCCTTACAAGCAGACCTGGGACAAGGATCCAAGCACAAGTAGTCTATGTTCAAATCCTGGCTCTGCTATATGGTAATCAACCAACTTCTCTAAGCCTCCATTTTCCTCATCTGTAAAATGGGTATGATAATGGTCCATACCTAATAGATTATTGTAAAGATTAAATGACATGCTCTGGATAGAGCACTCTTGGTGTATTTCAATAAATGTTAGCTATTAAGAATTAATAATAATAAGAGTTTCAAGAGATAAAAATTTAGCAGGATTCTTGTCTTGTGGACTCCCAGGAAACTTGTGTACCTCTCTGTCTTCATGCTGTGTATGAATGCTTTCAGGGAGGCCAGAACTGAATCTGATCATTGCCCCTAGTCTAGTTCTGGAATCTGCCCCAAGCTCTGACCTGTCCCGTGGGGCTGTTTGGAGACCCTCAGACCATCTGAGTGATGCTGGTTCAGAAGCTAGAGGATCTAGGGACTTCCTGCTGAGCAGCCCTGAATACCCCCCGCCAAGGCCTCATTCCCTGCACACTTGCCTTTGGAAATGTACGGTTCATTGTCGGACACCTGGTGAGCACCAGAAGCACTGGCCTCTGGCCTGGGCACTGGGACGGGGGGCCTGCTGGCCAGGTCCAGGGAAAAGGCCTCATCGTCTTCCACTGTGTGATAAACATCTTCCGGATCATGATGGAACGGCTCCTTCTCCAAAGCGGCGATGCCCACATTATTGCCTAGAAACACAGTAAAAGGTGACTGAACGCAGTGGTTGAGAACCCCATGCAAAGCAACTGAGAAAACACTGATGCCACCTTCATTTGCCCCCATCAGTGCAGCAAAAGGAAGTGGCTCTCAGCTCTAGCACCTTAACTTTACTGCTGAGACTGGGTTATTTATCCCATTCGAACTAAGGCAAGGGGCGTACAGCCCTAAAGCCCAAGGACACTTGGAACCAACCCCTGGGTCTGGGCAGCACTGTGAGGGTGGCTCGGAGGCCTCACCACCAGCAGCGCCAGCACCCTCACCTTCAGCATCAAGATGGCTATAGCAAACCCCTCCCAGGACTTCCTCTGGGCCCAGCACTGCTCCAAGTGTGTTACCCACATCATTTCCTGTGATTGTATAACAGCCCTGTGGAGTGACGATAATCATTATTCTCATTTTGCAGGTAAAGAACCTGGGGCCTTGGGGATTTAAATAACTTGCTCAGAGTCGCTTAGAGCCAGATTGGGGCCCAGGAAAACTGGTTCCAGAGCTTGTGCTCCTAACCAGCAAGCTCTACCGCCTCTCTCGCAACCTTCGCCGCCCCTCTGCTCCCCAGGGACCAAGGACTTAGACTGAAGCTTGCCTCCCACCCTCTGTCCCTCAGATTTCTCTGCCTCCTTCCCGGTAACAGGCGGAAATGCTCTGAGCTCAGACCCGAACACAAGGTCCTCTTTCTTGGCTTTGGGAGTCTCAGCAGACCTGTATGCCAGCCACAGCTCATACATGAGAGCTGTGTGACCTTGAACATGTTATGTAACATGTTCTCTGAGCCTGATTTCCCTCTGAGACCTACTCGCAGGAATAGTGTGAGGAGAAAATGAGATAATAAAGGGAAAGCACCCACTCAGTGTATACTCATAGTAGGGGCTTTCCTCTCCCTTCCTTCTTCTCTCTAGCACCGTTCAGCCAACAAATCTGTATGAAATGCCTGATGGAGATGCAGGGATGAATGAAGCTTGGGTCTTCTTCCTACAGGAGTTCTAATCTAGTATTTATTAGGGATTTTTCATTGCATTTTCTGAGCTGTGGGGAGACTGCTCTTGACTTCCCTGTGATTTGCCTACTAATACAACTTTTCTTTGCTCTTTGCTGTCAAAACTATTTTTCCCATCCTGTGTTCTTAGCACTCTGCCTTCTACACCTATTTGATCAATAGACCCCACTATAAATTATAAATGATTGAACAGAGTTAAAGAATTAGTCAAATAACTTAACACCTTCCACCTTTGACACCTTCAATAATGATAAGGAAAGAATACCAACAATAATACACCTTTATTACCTGTTCTATTTCTGGCCCTGCTCTGAGGCCTAATGTACAATAACCCATTTAATTCTCACAGCATTCATTTGACTTTACAACTTGGGAAACTGAGATACAAAGGAGTTGAGTAACTTGCCCAAGTTTTTCCTGCTAACTGGGGAGGAATTGAGGCTGTGTTCTTAGCCACTATGCAATTCAGCCTCAACTTAATAATAGTGGTGCATATTCTCCTTCATCAAAGAAACAGTAAATCAAATCTTATTTTTCTTTGTGTCCCCCAGCCCAACATCCACAATAGTGATTTGCTCATAGTAAGTACTCAATAAATTTTGATTAAATAAAAATAAACATGTGCATTTAAAAAAAAAAAAAAAAAAAAGGTCTTGCTGAAGGCAACTTGTTTATCCGGATGAATTGCTGCAGTGGTGGGAACTTCTGGCCTTCTTGTAACAGGCTGATGGGGGACGAGCCAGTGGGGTAGAATGCCTTCAATCACCCCTATGCCATGTACATGGAAGCCCATTCCTTGAGTGGAGCAACTTTCAGATGTAACCAGGTAATGTCTTACATGTGTTTTTCTTTCTCTCTTTTGCTTCCCTGCTCATAGCTACAACTTACCTTCTAAAAACTTGCGGATCATAGAGTCCTTAGTGTTCCGGGAGAAACTTTCTCCAGCGATTGGGTTAGATGTACTTGCCTGAAGCATTTCAACATCTAGAAGGAAAAGGAACTAAGAGGTAATAAGTTGTTCTTCCACACAAGCAAGGAGATTTTTCAGATGAATATAGAAATTTTAACAAATCGAGAGATCATGAACCAAGAGATTCAAGAATTCATTAATCTATTCATCTACTCATCTATTCATCATACTTATCTATCCACTAGAGACCTGGTGCATAAATTCGTGCATGGGTGGGGTCCCTCGGCCTGGCCAGTGATCAGGGCCAATCATGGCCATCTTGCCCACTCCCAATCGGGGCTGTAGCAGCCAGTGACTGGGGAGAGACCACAGGAGGTTGGCCAGCCGGGAAGGGACCACGGGAAGGCTCCAGGGCATGTCCGGCCCTCTTACCCAGTCCTGATCAGCCAGACCCCAGCAGCAAGCTAACTACCAGTCTGAGCGTCTGCCCCCTGGTGGTCAGTGCACATCATAGCAACTGGTTGAGCGGTCGAGTCAAATGATTGGTCAGACACTTAGCATATTACACTTTCATTATATAGGATTCATCCATCCATCCAACTACTCAATAAGAACACAGAGCAAATATGGAGTATAAAGAGCAACATTCACAATCCTCAGGCCCTTTCCTGGACCACAGGGCTCAAAAGGTTAGAATATAGTTTAAAGTTGAAGAGTATACAATCTGGTGAGTTTGTATTCTTTGTAAGTGTGATATAAGGAATTGGATAGAATTCCTCATACAAATTCACCAGATTGTCTTTAACTGGTCCCCAAAGATCAAAGTAGTAAGGAAACAGTATATGTGTGTATAATAATGAAATTCAAACCATTTTTTCTGAAAGTATACTATTCAACTTCAATCTACATATTTTGCTTAAGCAAGTAAGTCCTCAGTAATTGTGTAATATGACATAGTGAGTACAACCTCTTCATAATATCAAACTCTACTTTATTTTCTTTTTAATTTTGTTTTATTGCTTAAGGTATTACAAAGAATATTACATATGTCTCTCTTTTTTCTTTTTTGCCCCTTGACCTTCCCCCAGCCTCTCCTACCCCCCAGGGTCTTGTGTCCATTGGTTATGCTTATATGCATCAAAGCTCTACTTTAAACACAAGGCTGAAATTTTACTCCAAATACACATATTTCAGAGCCATAAAGTACTGTACTGTTGGTTGCTCAGGTTTAAGTGGATTTACTGTGGTAACTGAATGGTTTTCACACAGTTTTCGTCTCCGTGGGTTTATGCTTAATAGTGAAAGCCGAAGGTCAATGTGCTTTCTCCTTATAACGAACCAATTACATGGGTGACCTAAAATCCAAGTTCTTGTTTTGCTTTTGAGATGGTATTATTAGGATTTTGAGGTGGTACTATGTTGCTAGAAGTGGCTCTAACACATACATTCTTTCCAATTGTTGCATAATGTTCCGTTTTTAAATACACCACAATTGATCTACTCTTTGTTGTTCATGATTCCATTTCTTTTTTCTGTTATAAACAATGCCATGGTTACATATTTTAAAATTAAGCCTATTCTTTCAAATGCAAATGCCTTTTGAGTCTGTGGTTCAGGAAAGGGCCTGAGGGTTGTGAATGAGGCATGGTCTTTGGTATCCTGGAGACCTAGGTTCAAGTCCTGGTTCTGACACTAGCTCTGCATCCTTGAGCAAGTTACTTGCTATCACTGAGCCTCTATATCTCCATCTGTAAAGTGGGGATAACTAACAGTGTCCACCTCATAGGAAGACTGTATGTGCCAATTGAGACAATGCTTATGAAATCTTATCAACAGTGCCAGGCACTAGAAATTAGTGGTAATCATTATCATTATATTGAGGTAACCTAGACAGTGTATTGGTTTCTTGCTGTTGTAACAAATTGCCACAAGCTTAGTGGCTTAAAACAAGAACATAACATATTATCTTACAATTCGGTAGCTCAGAAGTCTGAAATGGCTCTCACTAGGATAATCTCAAGGCTTTGGCAGGACTACATCCCTTTCCAGGAGCTCGAGGGGAGCATCTGTCTCCTTGACCTTTCCAGCTTCCAGAGGCTGCCTTCCTTCCTTGGCACCAGGCCCTCTTCCTCCAGCTTCAAAGCCAGCAGTGTTGAGCAGAAAGCTCGGCTGAACCAAGTCCTCCTCATGGCGCCATCTCTGATTTCTTCTTCCATTTTTAAGGACTCTGTGATTACATTGGACCCACCCCGATAATCCAGTACATTCCCTTTATCTTATGGCCAGCTGATAATTCCACCTGCAACTGTAATTCTTCTTTGCCATGGAACCGAGCATATTCACAGACTCAGGGACATTATTCTGCTTACCACAGCTGGGACCAAATTGCCAGTACCATCAGCCTGGGAGTAGGACACACTCAATTCAAGCAAGACCATCATGTCCACAGAGGACTCAGCAGCCCTGGCCTGATACAGGCACTGGTCTCTATTGAGTCTCTGGATGTACACTGCCTTCAAATGAAGTTACCTGAAATTGATCTTATTGCCATTTATATTTTAAATAAAATGGTTCTTTTCATACTGAATTGAATATAAATATCTTTGAATTAGACCAGGAACAGCAAATACATACATTGGCCTCCATGTCCCTATTCTATACTTAAGGCAAACATTACCGATCCATCATAGCATTGTTCCTGGCCTCAGAATTCTTCTCAACACAGCTCCCCAGCCACTCAATACCAGCTAACTGACACTGGCACTTGAAATTATGTGTAAGACACTATTACCATCCCTATCTCAGGCAGTAAGTCCTAGTAGTAGTAGAAACGACCTTTATAATAATAAAGAAAATAAAAAGCACCTCACTGAAGGAGTTCATGAGCAGCAATAAGATTCTCTCCAACTCTACATTTGACAACCCAAGAGTACATACAACCCAGGCACACCGTGAGCAACACACGAGTGACTGAAACACAGAAAATTCTGGAGGTGCAGGGACAAAGGACATTTTGTAAAGGAAAGCAGGAGAGTAAGTCCCTGCATTCCTGGGCGCTTGGGGTTTGTACTTCAGATTACAAGTGCTTAACCTTCATCCCTCGCCAGTTAAAAATAAACTGAAATGTGCCGAAACCTGCTGGTCTAAGGAGAAAGCGTGACGTTCTTTCATTTCAGCGGAGAGGAAAGAGATAAAAACACAAGGAGCCTCCGGGGCCACAGTCTCCTCCGGGAAGAGGCAGCTGCGGAGTTATCCTGTACTTTACTGAGGGAGTCCAGCAGAACGAACCCTTTCCCGGGGGGAGAGACGCATGAACAGATGAGAGGAAGCCTGGCAGGCACTTAATTCGGGAATCAGTCCAGAGGAATAATGAATTTGCAAAGAAGCCCAGGTGATACTCCTCATGGGACACAAATGTAGATTACTTAGCTGCAGTAGAAACTCCATTCAGATTACGTGTTGTTAATTTAATATAAAACCTAATCTGGGTACATAATACAGTAAAATGTCAGACACTGAGAGACTATTCTTCTGGAAAAGCTCTCCACCCCTGAAAGCAGGCCAACGGAGTGTTGTTCCAGTAAGTATTTTTATGGCCAAAAAGCCTCAGAGGCAGGAGCAGCGTGGCTGCCCCTTTGCAGGTAACCTGAAGCCTGACAGGTTTCTAGGTGGAATCGATGCTTTGATTGACCATGTCAATGAGAAAGGCCAACCTTCCCATACCCCGTGGAGATGTAATGGGAATGAGACAGAAAGACCGAGAGAGAGAGGGAGAGTCACATATATACAGAAAGAAACAAAAAGAGAGATGGGGCAGAGGGGGGGAGGGAGAGTTGCAGTAGGAGAGGAACAGAGACAGAAAGATAGACAGACAGACAGACAGAAACAGGGGCAGAGAGATAGAGGAGGGCAGTCTGAAATGAGAGCAGCTAAGGAATGGTTGGCAATGAAAAAGAAGGGGCTAAGAATGAAGGGGTTAGGAGAGGCAACCAGTTAAGTTCTGTGGGTTCTGATACAGACAAGGGCTTCAATGCAGCACTCTGGCAAGCACAGACTCTCTGCCGTGCAGGAAGGAGTGCACGGTGCGGTGCAGAGAGCACCATGACTTGCTAAGTCACCCCGCCATTCACCTCCATGGCTGCCCGTTCGGGGCACCGTATCCTTTTCCTTCATGGCACCGTCACGGTTTGTAGCTATATATTGCATTAGGTGGGCCCTTTGATTAATGTCCAGCTCTCCTGCTGCAAGGGAAGCTCTGGAAGGCAGGGATCATGCGGCTTTTGGACTGACTTCCGTCACCTGGCACAGCGACTTAACGCACCAGGGGTTCGGTAAACACTGCTGAATGCATGACTGTGTGCGTGCACAAACCAACGAGGAGCACAGAAATGAACGCGTGGAGGTATGTGGGCCTTGTGAAGGAATCTGGGCATCTCCCAAGCTGAGAAAAGAGAAGGGCAACTCGGGCAGCAGGAACAGCACAAGGGAATGTGCAGCGGCATGAAAGACAAGTCCACCAGGAGCGGCTGAGGAGTTGGTTCCACCCTGAGGTGTCCCCCACTCAGGACACCTAGCAGATGTCTCACTACCACCTCTCGGGAAAGGGAATGTCAACTAACTGTTCCGCCCCACGAAGTCTAGGATGGCTTCTTATTTCCTGGTGCTCTCGAAGTCAAGAAACAGTTGAGCGCCTACTGTGTACAGCGCTGTGGGTAGCGCATGCTTCCTAGCTGCGGGAGGAGCAGATAACCGGAGAAGAGGGTGCAGAAGCACAGCGCACAGTAGTCTGCATGCAGTGCCCAAGGAAAGCACGGGGAGCACGTTAAATGATGGTGGTGAGGATTTTATCGTGTTAACTTTAAAACATTCAATCCAGTAGCTTTCACTGTGTACCTATGTCCTCAATGCAATTCTCTGTACATTTGGAGGATCAAAAAGCAATAGACATCAGGAAGTGTCCTGAGCCTCCCTTTGCCCTGCTGGGTCAGTTTCAGGCCTGGACAGGACAGGAATAGAATGACTTCTTTGCTGGTAAGACCTCATGCCTTGCACCCAGCCCCACTGCCCCTAAAGCATTTATTGGCTCCAGCAGCCAGTGTCTTCCCGAGATGGGAAGCAGGAGAATGGCAGAGCCTCAGCGGCTGCAGGAAAGAAGACTCGTGAGAGTGTAGACAGGGCAGGCGGCATGTTCCAGAAGCAAATCGGTAACCACAATTTTGCTAACAAAGGCGCCTCCTTCAGCTGGGCTCAGACCTGACATGGCTGGGCTGCAAGGCCCTTCACTGTGCCCCCAGCTTGGAAGGGACCTAGCTTGCAGAGAGGGGCTGTAATTGGAGAGCTCAGGTAAAGAAAAACTGGAGATGACCTGTTACAAAGACGCCAGTTACCAAGGGGGTTGCTAAGGGCTAAGTCAGCTCTCTGCCACACACAAACTTGAGCTGCAGAACCCGGCGGAGGGAGCAGGGGTGCAAAAGAAAAGTTCAAGACAGGAGTCACATGAAGCAGAACAGCCTTTCGGATGGATTAGGGTGACTGCTGTGAGTTTAGTTTCTAGGAGGGAGATATTACACATTTCACCTTTTGCCCCTTTCCCCTTTTGAAGAAAGACAAGCCTCTGAGATATTTAAGCAAAGCTAAATCCACAAGCATATTACCTTGGAAACAGCTGAACAAGGGCCTCCCAGAAATGGTTTCCGAGGCCTTAGCACCCAGAGCCTCAGGGAACCTTTCCAAACAAAGTGTATTACCTAAGTCAGAGGGCCACCCGGACCACCATATCATTCTCTGAGGCAAGGACAGGGGCAAAAGATCAGGACACAGTGAAAACCCCCGAAGGGAGGTGTGCGTTGATTTTCATTTAGTGTTTGCATAAGCTTGACCTTAATGAAGACATTTATTTCTTACATAGTAAGGTGAGGGTGTTGATGGTTTAAATCTGTGGAATCTTGAACAAAAAATTCTCAAGAGAATTGGGAGCAAAGTTGAAGGTTTGATAACATAGAAACGTAATTGCCACCTGGTGGCAGCATATCTAAACTAAAGATCCTGAACGTGAGCGGGTGTGTGTGTATGTGTGCATGCATGCTTGTGTGTGTGCGTGTGCCTGTGCGCGCGCGTGCGTGTGTGTGTGCGTGTGTGTGTGTGTGTGTGTGCACACGCGCACTCACCCACGCAAATTCAGGGGGAAGGACAGATTGGAGTAGAATCAAAAATCTCAGGGTCAGAACCTAACCTTGCTCCCCAGACCCCCTCCATTCAACATTGTGAGTTTCCCTGACAACCTTCCCACTTAGTGTTTGTTTTAGACTCCCTTTGGAGAAGAGGGCCCCATTACTCTCCCTTTTCCAAAACTCAAGTCAAAAGAGGCAGATTTGTCCCAACACAGTGAGTGACCTCCGAAGCAGTGGTAAGGAGCTGACCTAACGCCTGCACTCCATGTTTGTCCTGAGAGCAAGTGAATGAATGAATGAACACTATATTCCTTAAAATGTTATTTGCAGGGCAGAAGTGATGATGCATGGTCTCTGGCTTCCCAACTGGGCAACATTTGTTCTCCAAATGTTCTTTTGTGAAGGGGTCTCTGTCCCAGATTAGAAAGGACTGTGTCTTGGCCCCCCTTGTCTTTCCAACACCAGGAGAAGCGAGTAGCTGAAACACAGTAGATGCTCGAGAAATGCTTGCTGGGTACATGGAGATGTATGGATGTGCAAGGGCAGGGGGCACCAGAGGCTACGTGAGCTCATGTCCAGGCCGTAGAAACAGCAAGCAGGAAGTGAAATAAGCCGGTCAGAGAAGAACAAGTATCACATGATCTCACTCATATATGGAATCTAATGAACAAAATATATCCAGAGACATAGAAACATAGAACAGATTGCGGAATCTCAGAGGGAAAGTGGGGGAGGGTCGATGGAAGGGGGGAAGCGATGTATGTATATATGCATAACCCACAGACACAGACAACAGTGGTGGTAAAGGCCTGGGGCGGGGGACAGGAGGCAGGGATCAGTGTGGGGAAAAGGGGGACCTATGTAACACTTTCAACAATAAAGATTTTTTAGAAAGAAAGAGCAAGCAGGGCTGCAGCCACTAAATGGTTTTTCTAAAGGAAACCAGGACTAAACTTCGTGGTGTTAAATGGAAATTTCTGGCACAGAATAAAGAATATGGTCCTAGAGACAAAGAGACCTGGGTTCAAATCTGGACTCCAACAATTGTTGACTTTGGGAAAGTTGTGTAACCTCTCTGTGCAGCAGCGTCCTCATTCATAAAGTGCAGGTTAATGAACACATTCTTGTACAGGTGCTTTAAGGATTTGGTGAGATAGAGGATATGGATGGTGGGGGTGACACCCTCTCTCCTCACCTCCCTGCCAGGTCACCGCTCTTTCGGAAAGAGCTCCCACCAGTCCTTCCAGTCCTCCCAGTCAGGTGCTGAAAGGGAGCTTCTACCACTCTCTCCCTCTTTCTACCCCCTCCCTCAGAGGAGCAGCCAATCTCACCAGCAAGCACTTAACAACCATTGGACCACATCTTCCAGGTGCTGGGTTTGCAGGGTCAAGGGTGCTGCTAGTGTCAGGGTCTGCCTCTGGCCCCCTTTCGAGCCCACTCTCCCTGTTGCAAGGCATCCTCTTGGTGCCTGCTTGTCTATTCATGGGTGGGACAACCAGGCCCACCTCCCTGGGGGCCCAGGACCTTGCTGAAACTTCCAGTCATGCAATAGCCACAGCAGAGGAAGTTTGGAGAAGGATTCTGCTTGTCTCAACACATGATGGCAGCTCTAACTTTGCATAAAGCAGGATCTTCATCTCTCTGGGGTCAGGTGACAGTCAGCAGGGACTTCCCCCATCCACCAGAGTGAAGAAAGCCTTTTGTCAGCAGAAACATGGAAGCAGAACTGGGCTGTGCTACTTACAGAGGTCTTCAGTGGCGTCGGGGACGAAGGCGGCCATGGACTCGTACAGTTCCTCATCACAGCCCGGGTTGAGAGAGCATTTCATGAGCAGGTCTGTGGAAAGGTGGGCCATGGACTCATACACGTCGTCGGCCTCCTCCCCTTGCATCAGTTCCTCTTTGATGTGACTCTTCAGCATGTCCACAGTTTCCTGAAAGAGAACAGGGGACCCACAGGCACACTGAGGCACCCTGAGTGGGCTTGTGACTAGCAATGCCAAGGCTCCCATGGGTCAGGGCTTTGGCCCCCAGCACTAAGCACAGACCCACACATCCAGGAGACACTCGTTAAGGTACAAAGACCAGACAATACAAATGTACAACCCTCTCGTGAGCACCTATTGTGGGCCAGGTCCGATGATGGGTATTTGACTAGACATGCTACGTCATTCTTTCTACCACTGCTTGAGAGAGATGTAACATTCCGAGTTCACAGATGAGAAAACCAAAGCTCAGAAAAACCTACTGCCTTACCGTACATAGGGCCTGCAATCCTGGCTGCTGAGCTTTCCACTACTCCTAGTGGTTCCTCAAAAGGGAACAAATGGCACACGAGGGTGTAACCCTTACTGACGAGCCACATGGAGATTCAAATGGGATAAATGGGCTGTAGCTAAGGTGTGCTTGCACTTCTGTGTAGTCAGAGTCCCTCAGGAGCCTCATTCACTAGTCCCCGCTCCTGCCAGCAGACTGCTCCAGAGCCCTTCTCCAAAGTGCCTCCTCGGCTTTATACCCTGTGTGCCCAGGAGAGATGGTGGGGCCGGCTGCCCTCTCTCATCTGGTCTCTAGGTGACTGTGAAGCCGGAGAGCTGGCTTCTCTGAAACCTCTGCACAACTTTTCATGGTAAGAAACTTTGGTGTTTCACAATCCTTATTTCAGCATCAACCCACAGAGATACGCATTTTCATCATCGCTGCCCCAAGAGAGCGAATCTGCTATCGACACTCCGTGTTGGTTTCCTAATGAGACCCAGGGAGTGGACCAGGTGGCAGCTGTGAGTGTTGGAGACTCAAGGTCTGGCATTTGGTTTTGATTTGGTGGAAAGAGGAAATGGACAGTTCTTAGAGGTCATAAACAACACGTAGGGACAACCTTTTGGTACAATGCTGAAGATGCATTGGTTGAAGGGGATGACAGCCAGAGAACAAAGGTGATATGAGAAATGTGAGCCAGACTAACTTCAGTGCAAGCTGGACATGCATCCTCCAACCTCCCTGTGACATTCAGTAAGTAGGATAGCAAGCCCCGGCGTTGGCAGAAAACCAGGTTCAAATCCTAGCTCCACCCTTACTAGTGTGTGACACAAGGCACAGTTACTCCATCTTTCTGAGCCCTGTTCTTGATTGTTAGAGGGAGAGAACAATATTGTCAACTTCAAAGGATTGTGGTAAGGATTAAAAGAGATCATGCATTTGCCAATCAAATAAATTTAATAGGTAGCAGTGATTACTAGGAACACAGTATTGTCCTTAATAAAAGCTATTGGCACGGAACTGACTGCATTTTATACATTTGTGACTTCAAAGTAAAGCTGAGTAAACATTCCCAGATGGTGAGCACCTATAGCCTCATTTATGTCAACGATGCCCCAAACAGGCATTCAGGTTATTCTATTCACTCAACATACTTAGTCACCCCCAGACTTTGGAAAAACCCCTCTATGTGCAACAGCGAGTCATTGTCTTGTAGACTGTCAAAAACAGAGCAGAGTTCAGTTTCTGGGGCTGTGTTGGGCTCACTCTTGTCTGGAGATAGAGAGCCAGACAGGATTGTGTTTATTGTTCCTTTTGAGGTCACAACCCCATTCCAGAGGCCGAGGTATTCCTACGTCCTGATAATGGAGGAAAACAAACAAAAAAGGGTAGAGTCAGGGGGAAGGGCAGCTGCCTCTAAGACAATGGACGCAATCCTGAGTATGGAATAAAGTCTAGCCACGGGGTGAGATTACACTCAAAGAAGGACCAGAAGTCATGATGAAGTGGGATCTGAGGGTCCAAAACCAGATGAGCAGATAAGCTGGGCATATCTACCTTAAGACAGGCAGAGGCTCAGAAAGAGATGAGCTGTCAGCAGAAGGTGGGCCTTCACGTTGGACTCCCTGAAACCTCAGGTGCAGAGTTTTATAGTGTTTTCTGCTGAGAAAGGAACCAATCCTAATGCGGTTCATCTGAGCCTGATGGTGGGTGAGGCAGCTGGGAGCGTCCCACCAAGGGGCCTTGGAAGTGGGTGGGGAAGTGATTAGGGAAGAGGAATCATCATCAAACCTTCAGTAGATTCATTCCACAAATGCCTCTTTAAATTCTTTAAAGGTGGGCCTCAGTACCTTACCTACCTTGTTTCCTTTTATCCTCAAAATAACATATGGGTAGAGCTATAATTATCTTCCTTCTGAATACTAGGAAACTGGAGAGAGAGAGAGAGAGAGAGAGAGAGAGAGAGAGAGAGAGAGAGAGAGAGAGAGAGAGACACAATTTGTCCAAAATCATGTGGCTGACAAGTGTTAATGTGGGAATTTGGACTCAGGTCCATGTGATTCTAAGGCTCTTCTTTTTTTATTCTCATCCAAGGACATATTCATTGATTTTTCTTTTAGAGAAGTGGGGAAAGAGAGAGAGAGAGAGAGAGAGAGTGAGAAATGTTGATGTAAGAGAGAAACATTGATCAGTTGCCTCTGCACATGCCCCCACCGGGCCAGGGATTGAACCCGAAACCTAGGTATGTGCCCCAACTGGGAATAGAACCCACGACCTCTCAGTGTACGGGATGACACTCCAACCCACCCAGCCACACCTGCCAGGGCTCCAGGGCTCATTTCTTAAGGCCACACGTACTGGCCCCGCCAGAAGGGCCACACAAGGACATGCTAGAGATGAAATCTGACCGTGTCTCTGCTGAAAAGGCAGCCCTAGGACGACACAGTGCATTTCCAATCCTGGGGCCTCTCCCGCCTTGACCTTACCACGTATTCGTCGATGAACTGCCGCAGGTCCCTGAAGCCATGTTTCTCGGCAATGGTGTTGGGGTAGTGGCCGTGTTTGTTGGCCACACTGTATGCTTGTAGGGCTCCCGGGCAGGTGAGCAACAAAGCAGTGAGGTTCTTCAGTCCGTACTTCGCAGCAAAATGCAACAAGGTGGGCAGCTCTTCATCCCTCTGATCTGAAAAAATGTCAAGGAAACTTAATGGGCAGATAACATTGAAGGCAGAGGGCACCCTTGTTCTGGGATTCGAAGCTGGCATGCCTAATATGGTATCTAGCAGGCACTCAATCGTTACTTCTTGGTTGATTGACTTAACATCTGACAACTTCCTCAGGGCATCACTGAAGATTATGCCCTCAGATGACAGAAGAAATGATATTTTAATTAATTAGCAAATCTAATAATACCCTACCTTCTTTCTCTAAAAGGATCAGAGAATCCTGAGAAATAATACTAATGCAAAATGTGATTTTCTAAAGGTGTAAATAGCAGCCACAAAGTACAACAGGAACCATGTTTTGACCTCCTCTGCAAATTTCAGGGTACTTTAAAGCAATTGTTTTGTGCTTTAAAAAAAGAAGCAGCAGCCTGGCCAGGATGGTTCAGTGGTTGAGTGGTCAACCTATGAACCAGATGGTTGTGGTTTGATTCCTGGTCAGGGCACATGCCCAGGTTGCAGGCTCGATCCCCAGTAGGGGATGTGCAGGAGGCAGTTGATCAAGGATTCTCTCTCATCATTGATGTCTCTATCTCTCTCTCACCCATTCCTTTCCTCTCTGAACTCAATAAAAACATCATATATATATAAAGAAGTCCATCTTCATAGCTCTTATTCCTAATTTCATAAAGTATGTCAAGTAATTCTGAGTATGTTGCTTAGTCTTTCCCTGGGCCTTAGTTTTGAACCAGAAAGTATTTTTAGGCAATCTTAAAGGGAACTAAAAAGATTAATGGGATGGGATGCAGTAAGGTCCTTGTTTAAAATAGGTTTTGAGCCAAAACCGATTTGGCTCAGTGGATAGAGCGTCAGCCTGCGGACTGAGAGGTCCCAGGTTCGATTCCGGTCAAGGGCATGTACCTTGGTTGGGGGCACATCCCCAGTGGGAGATGTGCAGGAGGCAGCTGATAGATGTTTCTCTCTCATCGATGTTTCTAACTCTCTATCTCTCTCCCTTCCTCTCTGTAAAAAATCAATAAAATATATATAAAAAAATAAATAAAATAAAATAGGTTTTGAATGTTCGTATTAATGCAATGGGAACCCTAGGATGTATGTTAACCTCTGATTGGTGAGAAACAAAGTACTGCTGAGAGTCACTGGATCCCCGTGACTCCCTCTACCTACTGATAACTGAATACAGCAAGTTAAATTCAACCAAGAAACAGACACCAAAAAATCTTTTTTTGGTCTTGTTTTCATAAAAGTTGACTTCTAAACCCAACAGTAATATTTAGACAGATAGATAGATGATATATGTATCTAGAAATACACATATATGTTTCTGTACATTTATATAAATAGATATATATATGTTTTTAAATAAGACAAACCTAGCTTCCTGTTCACCAGGATATGATCCTTGGGATGAAGGGTCTGAAAATGTCCCCAGGATCCCACATTGTCAGGCTATGACATACTCCTTCCTGAGCCCCACGTTTAAGAATAGAGAATATTAACACCTGCTGGAAGTGATGCAAGAACACTCCATAGCAGGACAATGGGGAGAGGCAACTGGAGATTGCCCCCAGGAGAAGGACTTGAAGGCAATCTAACCTCATCCTGTGGTTCTCTTAGGCTATGGAAGGACGGAACACAGGCAGAGGGTAGCCAGGACGCGGGTCCCATTGTGCAGTGCAACTACAGCATGAAGGAAGAGTGGTGTCCACAGAAGCACCAGCAGGCCTCATCAGAGGCCTCCTGTCCAACGTGCCACGCACCCTCCCCATGCAAGTGGTTCTCCCAGCTCCAGCCATGTCACACATGCACCCAAGACTGCTCCTTCCTCATCAAACAAATATTTGTTTTGAGCCTACAGTGAGCCACCAAGCACAGTCCCAGCCCTCACTGAGCTAGCGAAGAAGACAGACACAGCTGAGGAGCACTAGGACAGTGGATACCCAACATGCTAGGAAAGTCCCCACCACGCAGATGGAACCTACCAAAAGTTCCAGAAGTCTTCCTGGGAAAGCGCAACCTAAGCTGCTATGGGGAGACGAAGAGAATTTAGCCAGGCAAAAGGCAGTCAAGAAGAACCGGAAGAACTGTATTCCCGAGTCAAGGTGGCAAGAGGCAGGGCAGAATTTTCATTAGGTGAAAGGAGTTCATACCTTCTGTAGAGCAGAGCTCAGAAGCCAAGGGAGCGAGTAGAGAGAAATGAGAGCAGAAATGCAGCAGGAGCCCTTGGGAAGAATTTTGCAAGCAAGCTGAGGAGTTTGGGCTTGTGAACAAACTCCCACGAGACTGCCTACTGTCTTCACTGGCAAAGAAGTACAGACAGAGAACCCAGAAGGCTGGTGACCCTTGAAGCCCTAGCAAGGTCAGAGCTGTGCACCCAGTTAGTCCAGACAATGGTAGCTGAAGCAACTTCCCCACCAGATAGTCACGTAAATCCTTATTGATAAGATAGTCTGCCTATTACTGGAAATTGATGATGGGCTAGTCTGTGTGTTACTGGAAATTGCCTGCCTAAGGGCTATGCTATGGGTGTATCCCAGATCAATAAAACATTGGTGCGGCCTGAGCACCAGGGGAAGTCCTTCCTCTTGAGGTGGACTTACCCGCCTGGCCCCCATTATTTCCAAATTATCTCTTGTCTCTTCTCTTTCATTTGTGTGCGGCTCCTCTTCCAGATCCTGAACCCTGAACCACGCGGGAGGTGGAGGGAAACATTTACAACAAAAGGGTCTTTAGGAAGGGGGTGTGGTACTCAGATGTACAATGTGGAAGAATCTCTGGCTAGCCAATGAGGAATGAATGCTTCTCAAAGGAAGGGCTGTAGAGCAGGAAGCCCTCAGATGTATGGGTTGACTCTATGCTGAACAAGCAAACTGGAATCACCCACAGATGGCTTCTTGAGGTTTGACTGCTGACTTACTTGTCATCATATCTTCTTCTTCCAGCTGGTTGATTCCAAAGAGGTGAAGTCCACTTGCGGGGATGTTGTTCTTCAGGGACTCAGTGAGCAGTTTATCGAGTGTCTCTGTGTTGTAGGGCACAATTTTAAAGGCCTGAATACAAAAGTGAAGACAGTCAGATTTTAAATCAAGCTAACCCCACCCAGCAGATTCAAGGCTGATAAACCAGGAGCTGAAATTACATGTCCAGAAGACTCAGGTTTCCTTTCAACATCTTTACCTGACACATGAATTCCACAGGATTCGCAGCATTGGACAATAAATTCCCGATTTCTTCCATGTCAGTGTAATAGCTGATACTGGCTTCGCACACCACTAAATCCCCGGAATATATCTTCAGAGAAACATTCCCAGATGAAAGGGCTGAACAGAAGAAAAGATACTATAAAAGTGCCCAGGAAGAACAAGTGTCCAGGGAAAAGCATTTATGGATTTGTCTTAATGGTGAAGAAATTAGTTGGGGGCTGGAAGAAAGAACCTGGAGGTGAGCTGGGGGTGGGGAAGTGAGGGAAAGGACAGAAGCAGATGAAGAGCAGACTAGCACATGACAGGGCTCAGAGTCAGAGGAATTATTCTCATTGGGTCTGAAATTGAATTTTTGAATGATTTTCATGTTTGTTCAGTACTATAGGTCCAGTACTGCAATAAATAGGAAGAAGAGTTGAATTTAAAGCAATTTATATAAAGGCCAGTGGTTGCCAGAAGGTGGGAGGGATCCTGGTAGGTGGAACTCCACACTTTGGTCACATCTGGCCAGTAGAACTGATTCACTGCGCTGCTGTCATTACTATGGGCTCTCTCTGCGTGCTCTCTTCTGCACCACAGGAAGGGGTTTTGAGGGGAAAAGAAAAAAGTAAAAATACCCCAACCACAAAGATTCAAGTCATAAAAGAGGAAATGCGACAAGTAGAGAACATGGAAAAAAATTCAACCTCACTAGTAATCAAAGAAATGCAAATTAAAACAATGGGCTACTTTAAAAAACATATCAAATTAGCAAAAATATTTAATGATGATGGTGATGGTATAGCAAAATAAACTCGACAGTAGCAATATTTCAGAAAGCTTTATTTTCCAGGATCCTTAAAAATACCCATTATTTCAGAGATTCCATCTGGAGGAAATAATCCTAAATACAAAAGGAAAAAAGCATCTGCTAGCTAAGGATGCTCAGTACTTATCATAATTTAAAACAATAAAAATACAATAAGAAATCGAAAATTACATAAATATGCAACAATGAGGAAATGAAAAATTAAAAGATAAGACTTATTTTCAACTGAGTATCATGCAGCTTTAAAAATTATGGTTAGCTCAGCTGGCGAGACTCAGTGGTTGAGCATCAACCTATGAACCCGGAGGTCACGGTTCAATTCCTGGTCAGGGCACATGCCAGAGTTGTGGGCTTGATCCCCACTGGGTGGCGTTCAGGAGACAGCTGATCAACGATTCTCTCTCATCACTGATGCTTCTTTCTCTCTCTCCCTCTCCCTTCTTCTCTGAAATCAATAATAAAAATATTTTTTTAAAAAAAAGTATGGTTATAAGATACGAGTCCAACACAAGGAACTGGCTTTATAAATTATGGTGCATCTAAACAATGGCTTACCTTGCAACCAGTAAGCATCATGTTGTAAAAGAATATTTATTAATGTGGATAATGGAAGTGGGCTATGAGACAGTATGAAGCCATGTACATAGATGTGGAAAAATACAGAAACCAGTGATTTCCTTTGGGGTGGGCATATGGGTAATTTTCTACATACTTCCCTTTATGGTTACTTTATTCTTCATGTTTTCTGTATTGAACACACATTATTTTTGTAACAGAAAATAAATGTGTTTAAAATGGAAAGTTATCCCCTAGCTGGTTTTGTTCAGTGGATAGAGCATGGGCTCGCAGACTGAAGGGTCTCGGGTTCGATTCCAGTCAAGGGCACATGCCTGGGTTGCTGGCTTGATCCTCAGTAGGGGGCATGCAGGAGGCAGCAGGTCAATAATTCTCTCTCATCATTGATGTTTCTATCTCTCTCTCCCTCTCTCTTCCTCTCTGAAATCAATAAAAATATAAAAAATAAATAAAATAAAATGGAAAGTTACAAAGCCCATGTAATAGCATGGGGGAGGGGGAGAGGGATGGGCAGAGAATAAATATAAGATTACATAAAAAGAACAGAATATCAGGTAATAGATACTACTGAAACAACTATGTTTTTAAAAATTGTGAAAAAGGCCCAAAAGCCTGAATGGTGGTCTGATGACTTTTTTTCCGACTTTTCTCTAATTTCCAAGAAGTTTAATATGTTAACTTTCTAATGATAAAAATTTTAATATAGCCATTGTCTTCCCACCCCCCCCACCCCACCCCCGCATCACACATCGATGTTTCTGCCATTCCTTTTCCTTTAAGCAGAACATGACAACCAAATGCAAACCTTGGCTGACACTTTGCCCAGCTGCTGAATAGACAGACAAGGAAAAGAAAGCAAGAGGGCCTCTTCCCTGGCATGATGCCTAATCTCTGGAGGTACCTGGGGCGACTTACCGGGAGCCTTCACGGACACGGTGTACTCATTCTCCAGCTTGCCTTCCACCCTAATGGAGGGAGAATCCTCTGGAGAAAATTCGGCTTCGGTCGTCACTCTCTCGTCCAGCTTACATCTCACAATGACGTAGACAGTGGTTTCTGCCTGAAACGGGACACCAGTCATCATCCCCTTTCCCTCCTGGGTCCCTTACTAGGGTGCCCAGCCAGCGGGTCTCCCGCTCCCTGAGCCCCAGCCTTATCTAGGGAGGCTGTTCTAGAACAGGGTGGGTCTGCGGTCCACTGTTTGCTTCAGGCCCCAATGATACAAGTTCCCAAACCCAAGAGTAAACATTTATAAACCTTTATAACAATTTGATGGAGTAATCCTTTGTATGTTGAACCTAATAGAAATAATTTAAAAACCCGAGTGTTATATTTTATATGCCTTATGATATCATTTTTATAGCTTTTCTTTTATATGGTATTTGATAAAAGCATCGGTCCATGGCAGAATTGGAAATTTAAAAATAAAATTTCTAAAAGTTCCTCACCACAGACAGTTGGGGAAGCACTATCCTAGACTAGTCTTGCTACCCAACGTGAGGTCAAGGGACCAGAAGACCTGATTCCCCTGGAAGCTTGTTAGGAATGTAGATGCTCAGGCCCTACCTGGACCCACTGAACCGGAGTCTGATTTTACCAAGACCTCGGGGGACGCATGCACCTTATAGTGGGAGAGGCACCTGCCTAGAGAAGCTCTTTTGTTCTGCAACTGAATGCTGTTCATGGAAGGACAAAAATAACTTACTGTGGGATTAATTCCCCAAAGGCACTGAGCAAACTGAATAGCTATTTTGCTTTGCTTTAAGATCTCTTGCTGAGCCTGCCAAATAGAATTATCTTGTTTCACTGGGCCTGATTATTTCCTCCAAGACACTGAACTGGTAAGAATAGCCCCTCCCGCAGCCCCCACCCCCAAAAATAAACGTGCAAAGGAGATATTTCTGGCCAAAGCGAATCCCTCAATATTTACCCTAAGATTCTGCTATAAAGTCCTTACAGTACCCCTCATGACAAAGGCTGTGATTTCACAACAGATGAGGAAGGGGCGTGGTCCTGGCTCCTGGGGGCTGCTGAGGCTGAGGGTGAACGTGTTGTGGTTAACCTGACTCCTGCTGCAGGCCCAGCCAGCTCCTCCTCCCAGGGAGCGTGGGGAGCCAGACAGAATGAGTGCCTCTGTTCTATTGACGGTCAGGACTTAACCCCAGCCCAGCTGCCGCAGGACCCAGAGATCTAGAGTAGGCAACAAGGAGCACGCACCCTGGGTTAGGGAGAGCCTAGATGGGAGAAGGAACAAAAGCCTGGAGAATCAGGGAGGCATGCGAAGGGCATCGTTCTTTAGTCCCAAACCCGGCACTGACTGGCACCCACCATCCTGACTACAGGATGAATAGCAGGAAGGAGGGCGGATCAAACTGCGAGAAGCATACTCCATTTAAATGGCTGCTTGGCCTTGCCAGTCATCTCGGGCCTGGTGTCACCAGATTCTGATTCCAAGAAAGCTGGAAACACAGATTTTCACGCCTAATTTTTAAAACACTCAGCAGTCCAAAACAAACATGTTTGGGTTCCATCCAGCCCAAGCAGCGGTTTGTAACCCTCATGTAGAAAGTCCTTGCCTTGTGGCCTCAGGCAGCATGGAAAACCACTCACAGGGCCAAAGAAGCTGGTCCTTCCCATTGCCACAGCTCTCCTGCCCTCATCTCAAGGAGCTCACAGGGGCAATTTAGCAAACTTATCCACAGGGAAGCATTTTGCTGCTCTGAACTAATATAACACATTGTTGATCAGGAAAGGAAAGACCTATCAATTGATGAGAAACTATCAATACTATAGTAGACTTCAAATGACAGTGGCCCTCACAAGTCACCTGTTAACTTATGTCCCATCCCTGAAAATGATACATTATGCTTAGGCATCAATCTTATCCCTTTAGCAAGCAGTATTTGCCAGCAAATTTAAGCCATCAAGTTCCATGGCACTCACTTGGGCCATGCCAGTGGCCAGTAAATGACGAAGGCAGCTCTCAAATGCCTCTCATCCCTTCCTCCCAGAACTACACTCCGCGGGTGGCACAAGTGTCCTGTAGTGCTCATGTCTGCTGGTCTCCCACCTGTTCTAAGTTTTGGATCTATGAACTAAAAGTCTTAGATTGATGGCCCATACATTCCTGGACTTGTCTCTCTTTCACTTCAAAGAGAGAGTTGTGCCCATGGCCCAGGTACTGGGGTTCCCAGGGCAGCTACTATACAGGGAACCCCACAGGAAGGCTGGGATTACTCTAAGGTGCAACAGGTGAACCCGACTCCCTTTACTCCAACAAATGCATCCATTGAAAAGCCTGAAAGCCCATGTTCTGACATCAATCCACCCGCCCCAGATTCGCCTACCCCACAGCGAATGCGGTCTGGCTGCACCACCATCAGGTTCCCGGGTGAAGTTTCCAGCGGCAGGCTCTGCTGCTTCGAGTAGGGCAGGACCTTCTCGTCCTCAGTTTCAGTGTCGGTGACTGAGTCACAGCCAGAATCTATAGAACAGAGAACAATGTTGAATGGGATAGAAGGAAGGAGAACTGATGGGCAGGTTCCACACCATGAAAGCCCCAAACATTACCAAATAGGAAATGGTTCTGAATGTTATACAAATACAAGCTGAAGGGAGTGACTCAGGAAATCGTGAAAGAGAACCTAATTATGAGAAGTCAACCACCATGTAGGCCACCGGGAAGGGTGACAGCGAGGGGCTGAGGTGGAGAAGAAAGTCTGAGGCAGACAACTGTCTGAGGCTGGCAAGTCCAGGCTCAACCAATAGGCTTCCAGAAGCTTTACCTCGGGACTTATTGCAGGGCTGCCTTTGGTGGGCGTGAGGAGAGGAGGTTCCTTCTTCTCAGGTTGGGTCAAGAATGGACTGTCCATGCTCGCCCAGCATGGCTCAGTGGTCACAGTTCGATTCCTGGTCAGGGCATATGCCCAGGTTGCAGGCTTGATCCTCATGACTAGCCAATGTATCCTCTCCCGAGCCACAGTGAAAAGCAATCATTTTTAAGAAATTTTAGATCGATGTAACCAGGATTCAGATCAGAACCACAGCTAACACCTCTACTAGAGCATGCACAGATTCAGAGCAGGTGAGCAGGGGTGTGCAGATGTGTGGGTGATGGCACACACAAAGATGGTCTTGAGATGGTGTGAATGGAATCTGCCAGAACTCCAAGGCAGGGGCTGTAAGCCAGGGTCCATCCATTGATAGGATACTTGTGTACAAGGTTCTGTGTGTGCATGTGTGTATGTTTGCCTGTAGTTTTCTGGAGACAGTTCCGAGATTTAATCAGATCCTCAAAGAGAGACAAATGGTAAAAAATGGTTAAGAGGAGAGGGAAGGTTCACCGTCCTTTTCTTGGGCTTGCTGTTTGTATTCCCAAACCACTTACAGAGCCAGCCAAGTATGATAGGCACTGAGAGGACATGAGGATGGACCAGACATTGATCCTGCCTTCATAGAGCCCACAATCTAAAAGGGTGGCTGGATGAGAGGTCAGGGTTAGCTTGGCTGATCCCTACAGGAGGACCTCCCAGGGAAGGCGTTGGCTTCCTGCAGAGCTTGTGGTGATCAGTGCTGGGAGAAAGCTGGGGTGACTGGTGGACATGTCCCCACACAAAGCTATAACCACAGGCTTGCACGCTAGACCCCCAGTTCTTGCCAGCAGAGAAGTTGTGCTCCCACAATCTTGGAGGTTGAGGTGGGGGAGCAGAGCTAGGGACAAGGTCCTAGGCAAGGACCCCAAGACCTGCTCAGGCAAGGGGAGGGGCTAGAGCCTGATATCTGTGTTGACAGGTGTCTACTCACTCTCCCAGAGTGTGATGGGCATTGAGGCACACAGTCCTACTGCTCCTCCCTCTCCATATTTTCTCCTAAGATGCATTATTCCAGAAGGCCTGGCTGAGTAAGTCCAGGTCTCTGATCTTATTTGTGCAACAGAAAACCAGGCAGAATATAGTGCTAAGAGATGGGGCAAAGGACCCTGGGAGTTCCAAGGAGCGTAATATTGTTTTTCACTAGACATCAGAGCTATCATACTCCTATATCTCTCCTTTCCTTTCCATTCCTACTGACTCCCCTCACTCAGTGCTAATATCCCTCTCCAATCATCTCTACTTCCCTGCTCTCTCAGCCAAATTAACTGAAGGCTACCATTTTCTCTGCTGGATCTGCCCTTTCCCACACCCTTCTCTCCTTGATCAGCTATTTTTAAAACATCTAGGGCTCATCCCCATGACAGAGCTGCACATGCCACCCAAGCAACTTCCATCGACCATGGAGCCTATGAATGAGAGAGTCCAAAAGATCAGGGATAATGAATATTACTCTTCTTAATAATTACATGCTATTATATCAAGCTTCAATTTTTTATTATTAGATGACTGAACATCCCAATTTTTCATTTCTGAGGTTCTTCCTGGAAGAGAAAATAACCCTACTGACTTAAAACATTCAGTCAGTTACTTAAAACTGCAAAACACTACCCAGAACTACTTATTAGTCCAGAATTGTTTAGACACTCTCTTGCCAATTACCTATTCTAATTGATTATACAGGCATAATCTCCTTGGATAGACCAATCTACCATTGCTTCAAAAAAGAAAAACTTCTTTATTTCTTCCAAATTGCTGACCCATTTGTCTAGCCAAAGAGTCAAAGCTCTGGTAATTACAGTTAACAAAAGAATAAAGAAAATATAAATAAGCCAAATGAGAAAAAGATAATAGCAGATATGAAGAATTTTTAGAAACACATTAATGTGATAACTTTATGCTCAGAATTTTAACAATTTCAATACAATTTTTATAGAAAAACATAAATAATCTCAAAATACGTAGAAAACTAAAAATAAATAAATAAATAAGAAAGAAAAATATAAATGTTGATAGAAAAAAAAATACGTAGAAAACCTGACTAAATCAATAATCATGGGGAAAAAACTTCATTGGTTTTCAAATAAGGCCATATACCATTTCTTGCATTGTTCTTTAAATTGTTGTTGCAATGATGTTCTCCTTTATAATATTCATTTTCCTATCTCAGAAAATTATCCAGCCCTAATCGGTTTGGCTCAGTGGATAGAGAGTCAGCCTACTGACTCAAGGGTCCCAGGTTTGATTCTGGCCAAGGGCATGTACCTTGGCTGTGGGCACATCCCCAGTAGGGCACGTGCAGGAGGCAGCTGATCGATGTTTCTCTCTCATCGATGTTTCTAACTCTCTATCCCTCTCCCTTCCTCTCTGTAAAAAAATCAATAAAATATATTTTTTTAAAAAAGAAAATTATCCATATATATAAAACCCTAATAGGCAAATAGACGTAACGGCAGAACAACCAAACAACCAGTCGCTATGATGTGTGCTGACCACCAGGGGGCATGCATGGAACATGGCTGGCGTCAGCAGCAGGAGGCGGAGTGTAGAACTTGGCAGGCATCCACTGTGGCGGGATGGTGGAGCAGGTAAGCAGGAGTGCCAGACCCAAGGCAGGGCACCAGTCGCTGTCATTGGGAGAGCCTCCGGTGGTTACTGAAAATTCTTTGCTCCCACACAGTCCTGCCTGGCGCTTGCACCTGCTGCTGGCACTGGCCCTGATCGCACCTGCTGCCAGCACTGGAGCCACCATTCACAACTGCTGCCAGCCCCAATCGCTTAGCACCATCAACAAGGGTGAGCGGCGGCTGCCAGCCCCGATTGCCCCTCAGGGCTTCTCCACCTCCCCTGCTCCTGAGGGGCGATCAGGGCTGGCAGCCTATCGCACCCGCTGCCAGCAATGGCTCCACTTGCACCCACAGCCGCACAAGAGCCACTGCTCACACCCACTGCTGGTGTCAGCCCTGCTTGCACCTGTAGCCAGCGCCGGAGCCGCTGCTCACACCCGCACCGGCGCCAGCCCCAGTTGTTCCGTGCCCTCAGCAGGTGCAAGTGGGGCTGGCACCGTCAGTGTGTGGGAGCAGCAGTGGCAGGAGTGAGGCTGCTGGCAGACAGGGGACCGGGGGCCATGGTGGGAGGGGCCGGGTAGGGGCCCAGAGGATGGACTGAGACCCCCCCCTGTTCCCATAGCAGCCTCATGGCCGAGTCCCTTTCAAGGTGCATGAATTCGTGCACTGGGCCCCTAATATATATATATGTATATATATATATATATATATATATATATATATATATATATATATATATATATATAAAATATGTATCCTACTAAAGTTTTTAAAAAAATTAAGAGTACTTTTATTTTATATTAAAGTTATAAAAAAATTAAATAGAGTAATTAAACATAATTGCCCACAAACTAAGCTCTGTTCTCATGAAAACATAGTATGTGATAAAGAAAGCATTAAAAATCAGTTTAGAATAAAGAAAATAGTTGATGAGAAAAATGGCTCAGGAGATGGTGCTAGAGAAATCCAGCTATTTGGGATGGGTGTGGAGGGGTAAAGGGATTATTTAGAGTCTTCCTAATTCTCATAATTTCCAAAATTAAATTTAGATGAATTAGAGATTGAAATTAAAATAAAGTAAAACAAATTTTAAAACTTAAAATTATGAAAATGTGGTTGAAAGTTTTATCATTGGCTTAGGGAAAGATCTGTTCATCTTAAACACATGAAGAAATACAATCCAAACAAACAATAGAGTTGATGACATGAATTTAAAACTTCAATAAACAAAAATGTAAAAACATAAAAACTCAATCATATGTTTATAAAAGCATTAGTCATAATAGCCAAAAGTGGGGAAAAACCGAAGTGGCCATCAACTGATGAATTATATCATTCAGACATAAAAAGGAATAAAATATCAATACATGCTACAGTATAGGTGAACCTTGTAAACACTATGCTAAGTGAAATAAGCCAGCCACAAAAAACCCCCCACACATATCATAACATTCCAATATATGATATGTTAGTACAGGCAAATCTATAGAGACAGAAAGTAGATTAGTGGCTACTGAGGCCTGGGGAGCTGGGATTGGGTGGGGCAAGGTCAGGAAATGATAGCTAAAGGATATGGGGTTTCTTTTTGAGATGATGAAAATACTCTAGAATGAGTTGTGGCAATAGTTGCGCAAGCCTGTGACTATACAAAAAAAATATTGGCGGGAAGAGATTAACCCAAGAACATATGCATATATGCATGACCCATGGACACAGACAATAGTGCAGTGAAGGCCTGGGGATTGCGGGAGTGAGATAGAGAGGGTCAATGGAGGGAAAAGGGGGAAACAGCTGTAATATTTTCAACAATAAATATACCTTTTGAAAAATCATTGAATGGTACACTTTAAATGGGTAAATTGTGTTATGTAAATTAGATCTCAATAAAGCTGTTACCAAAAAAATCCCAGGGCAAATCACAAACTGGTTAAACTTTGAAATAAATATGCCAAGGAACTAATCTCCTTATATATATTAAATGGTCATAGAAATCCGTTTAAAAACACCCAAAGCCCAATAAGTAGATAATTCACAAAGAAAGAAATACA